TATCAAATGCTTATAGAATTTAATTGAAATGATACATTTTGGATGAAGAGGTTGCATTTTAATGAAATCATCCATTAGTTTTTGGAATGATATATTGACCATGAAAAGATATATATTATTCATTTTCTAGCCTTTTAAATTTCTAATTCTTTTTAGATTATATCAATTGGGTGACAGTGAAAAATAATAGAGATGTTGAAATATGATGTCTTTATAAAGAAAACACATTTCCAATGCCTAATTAGAGATGAACAAGTAGCCTTAACTTTTTGATGATATCTAGAGTTTTGTATAATTTTTATATAGAAAAGTATAGTTAAAATTTTGAGGTATTTGTTAATTGGTCAAACTAAGTCAATGTATTGAGTTGGGGGGGATTATTCAAGCATTCATCAATTTCTCTCAACTTGTTTGAAGTTGTAGAATCTTCAACCTTCACCCATCATCTTTATGAGAAGATGAGAGAAAAAATCAAATTTAGATCATCATTTTCTTTATTAGAATTTTGAACTCACTCTAAGTCAACATCATCTTTTAAAAAATAACCCGTAGTGAAATATTTCATATTCTTTTTCAAATAAACATGTGATAAATTCATTTAATTACTCAAAAAATTAAACTCATAAATTAGCTATTGGGATCTTAGAATTGTGAATCTAAAAGAACATTGTAGGGTGAAATTTTAAGAGAGCTAAACTTAATAATCCATAGTTGTGATTGTGATGTTTGATCTTAGTGGAACCCAAGAACATGACTTTCTTAGAGAGTCTACGTAAGTAAAGGATTGAACCACTTTATAAATCATTGAGCCTTATTTCTATTGATCTAAAAGAATTATATGACTCATGATTTAAACGAGAAGACAAGAGATCTTAGATAGAGTTGACCATATAGTGTTTTAAAAGGTCATCAATTCAACTTTTCTTTCTTGATCTAAGCGTGGCCTTAAATCTGACCAGTGATATAAGAGTTTACCTCTATACATATAACTTTTTTAGTAGATCTTATGGTAAACACCTCAAGTTCATAGATTACCTTTATTTAATAGATTGACTTATGCCTTTGGGAAAAATAAAATAGAAATATTTATGTAAGGATTAGGCTATTAACTATGAGAAATATTTATTGATAAATCATTTGAGATAAATAATGATTTAGCTACAAAGGAACGTAAAAACATTGTCCATAAATGCTAGAGTGATGGGTGTTTTGATCACTCAATTAGATTTTGAAGAGTTTAATAGAGTTATAAATTGTGAATATGGAAATGAAATTTTAAGATAGATTGTAAGTCATACATGAGGGTACCAAGAAAGTTAAGGAATCCAAAACATACTTGCTAGTGCACCAACATAAGATGTTCACAATAAAAGAAAATGAGAATATCTCATAAATGTGTGATAGTTTCACATATATTTTAAATAACATGAAAAATTTAGGGAGAACATTTTCTTTAGTGGACTTGAATAGAAAAATTAAAATGGCCTTGCCCCCTTGCTAGAGACCCAAGTTTGCAATCATTGAGGAAGCAAAAGACTTGATTAAACTATCTTTAGATGACCTATTAAGATCCATGTTGAAATGTGAAATGGAAGGCATCATAGGACACAAAACGTTAAGAGGATTTAAGAGAAGAACAGAAGTCAGAAGAGAGGGCTATGCTGACTTGCAAATTAGAGTCAATTTTCATTAAGTTTAGGAACATAAAATTTCTAAGAAAGGTTCAAGAATTTCCTTATGCAAGGAATAATAAATCAAAGAGTGAACTAGTCTATTTTGAGTATAGAAACTGGGAAATTTGAAGGTTAATTGCTTACCAATAATAAACTTAAACAAGAAGAAAAAGAAGGTAATGGTGGTGACAAAGAGTGATGAAGATAACTCTTTATTGGAAACTTAATGGTAGTCAAAAAAATGATAATTTAATAGAAACCCAACACAAGTATACGCACAAAGAAGAGATAGATTATGTCAGTTGTTTAGGAGAAAATAAAATGGAAAAGTGTAACGACTTTACTCATGAAATTTTATCATGCAAAAATGAAACAATGAGTAGAAGTATTTCTGTTTTTACCAAAAAAATTGGAGCTTCTATGAATCCTAGAAAATAAGTATTAAACCCATTTAAATACTTTAATAAAAAACCAAAAAGCAATTTGAAAATCTGATCATAGGAAAAACTTTGGAGAGGAAATATGTTTTCTCAGCAAAACCAAAAATCAGATAGATCAGGGTTTTGAGGAAATTTCTAGAATCATTTATAAATGTAGATCTGTACTATGTTTGGATTCCTATTTATTTTAGGAGTCTCTCTTGGTGAAAAGAATTTCATAATACTTGGATAGTAGATGCTTAAAGACATGACTAGAGAGAAATGTGGCTAACCTCATTTTTTGAAAAAGGAAGTGAAGCAATATTTGGGGGAAATGAAAGATAAAAATGATAGGATATAAATATAGACAAATAACTCAGTGAATGTATTTAAAAATAAATATTGGTTAAAGGAGTAACACAAACCATGATTAATACTAGTCAATTATGTGATAATGGGTTTAAAGTTCGTTTTGAAATTAGTGGTTATCATTTCTTGAATTCTAATATTGATTTCATTCTTCTAGAGTCTAGAGTTTTAAAGTTAAAGGTGCATATTCTTCTAATAGCAAAAGGACACAACTCCTACTAATAAGAGGGAGATTAACCCGCTCATTGTATGAATGAATGCTGGATATTTGCCTACCTTGGATTATTAGCAATCAATTTTTTTAAAAAAACTGTGGTATAATCAAGGATGCCCTATCTATGCTATCTTTTTCAAATAAGGTCAATCTTCCTTGTCAATAGCTCTAGATTCTTAACATAGTTAATTTACATATTGGTACTATAACTTCAAAGAAAGGGCAGGACTGGGATTTAAGGACCATATCACCCCCAATTTCTATGAAATAAAAGATTCTCATTGAATGATAATAAATTAAAGCTCATGTATATGGCACAACTTAATTCTAGATGAAATAGAGTAACTTAATTCTAATTCGTATTTTGAATGAGCTAAAAGAGCATTCATTGATATTACTCCCCAATACCATTTTTAAGATATCCATTTTTGATAAGTAGAGACACTAGAATGAATAAAAAAAATTATATAAATTTATCTAGTATTAATAATAGACTCAAATCTGACCAAATTCTTTATAGGATCTTCAAGTCACAAAGTTAAGATAGCAAAAAAATTAGGCCCATCAAGTTGACCACTCTAATGTATTCATTGATTGAATAAAAAATGAAATCTTTAAGTTTGGAAGCTCATAAAATAAATGGGTCCATGTAAAATAATGTAATATTTTAAAAGCCTGACACACACACACACAAAAGAAGAGCATCATTAGTCAAACAAGGCACAACATATTACAAATAGCACTATGTTTTACCATAGTATTGTATATCATCTATATACCTAGTGTATGGCAGATCTCCTCATCTATATCCTACTCATTTTGTACCCAAAAGTAAAATAAAGCTAATTTTTCAAGTTGTCTCTAATTTCATTGCCTTATGTGTCCAATATACCAAATTTATAAGCAGGGTGAAGCTGTCTCTTTAGGAAGCCAAGTTTTCCACCACCAGGAAGCCTTCATTTAGTTAGTAATAAGAAGCCTTACTACATTCTCTTCTTTCACAATTTTACGTCCCTAATCCATAAAGATGGAATTTTAGTGATGTATTTTAATTGTGGTCCTTAGGATTTAAAACCATGCTTGATAAGGACAGAGCACTAATAAGCCTCAACCAAATGTAGATCCTTTATGTACAACACATTGGAGGTGGAGCTGTTCATTGTACAATTGGATCACTTTTCTCTAAGAAATTTATGGGAATAATCAAGAGAGCATAGTTTGTATCTATCTAGATAATGAGCATGGGATAATGAATGCAAGAAAACTCTATATTGTTGCTTATAGGAGATTGTCTACCCTTTTTTTGATTTTTATGATATAATTACGTCTCATAAAATTCAAGAAATCTTCATTTCCATTATGCAAGAAGGAGGGTGTCTACATCAGTGCTTCAATTCTATCATTTATGCCTTGCCAAAAGTATCTTATTTTCTACCATTGGTTTATGGCTCATGAATACTATAGTCTTTTGGTAAATATGTCATTTAATCCACAGAAGTTGTAGCTATGTGGGTATGCACAAATTTAAATATTGAAATTTAAGAAATAATTAATACTTGGACAATTTTGAAGAACTGGAAGATTACTATATATTTTAACAAAAAAAATCTCACGTATAATCATGTCTTATGGTATCTAAAACTATCATTCATTTATTTTTTGATTTCATTAAGTTATTTTTATTAATCATAATTTAAATACTTAAAAATATTAATATCTAAGGAAAATTAATGCATTGACAATTTTGAAAAACTAGAAGATTACCATATATTTTAACAAAAAATATCCCCATCTAATCGTGTCATGTGGTAGCTAAAGCCATCATTCATTATTTTTTGATTTCATCATAAATTAATTTTATTAATCACAAATGGTGATCGTAAATTAATCACCAATTTAAATACTTTAAAATATTAATATCTAAGAAAAAATTAATATGTGGACAATTTTGAAAAACTAGAAGACTACCATATATTTTAACAAAAAATATCCGACATCTAATCGTGTCTTGTAGTATCTAAAACTATCATTCATTTATTTTTTGATTTCATGATAAATTATTTTTTATTAACCACCAATAGAAGGTCTGGTTATTTGACAAGTGTTCTTAATATGAGCGGCAAAGGCAAGGTTCAGTCCAATCGGAATCCAAGATTCTAGCGGATCCGAGGCGACAAAAACAGAGCACTGGACTGCGCGGGAATCCCGACCGGTCGCACCAAACGTGGTTGCCAGAAAACGATTCCTCGAATCGTCGGTTTCAAACTCAACACTGCTAAGAAGGGAGAGGGAAGGAGGTGGCGGGAGGGGGGGGGGGGAGAGACAATGGAGGAGGCGCAAGAAGAGGGTGGGAACCCGGCGCAGGCCCTCGAGCTCGCCTACTTGAAGGCGGCGTTCCTCGCTATGGAACCCGCCGACTTCGTGGTCTCCTTCGCCAGGTGTGTCTTCCTCGCGTACCTGAAGGCGACTGCCTGGTCTCCTAACTGTGCTTCTGCGCAATCAGGGTAAAAACTCAGCGTAATCGCAATAATTTAGATACCTCTCCGAAACGTAGACGAACAGAGGGTAATTTGGATCCCTCTTCCAATACGTGTAGTGTAGGGGAGAATATGGCGATCTCCAAAGTGGAGAGCATTCATCTTTTGTGTAAGTTGATATTCTCGAAGGTGACCGCTTTGTGGTAAGATGAAGACAGTCTGCATCTTACCACAAAGGAGAGAGACTCCTTAATGTCTAGTCCCTTCACTGCATGAGTGAGTTGGTAAACTTAAATCCATCGTGAAACTGAGCCCGTGTAGATGATCGGGCATGGATACATGCAGCTGCTATTGAATATATCTATATCCATCAGCCTGCATGCGAAGAAATTTGACCATAATTTCGCTTTATAGAAATTTATTGAGACAGCATCTCCTCTGCTGGTGTCCCTGTTTTCTGTTTTTTGCCAAGAAGGCTCCTATCGATAGGTACAGTGTCGTGCTGGTTTTTCTATTTGCATACAAGTGGTTCTTTTGATTTATGATGAAATGATCATTTTGATCGTTATAGCTTATTGTTTCACCTTAATGATCAGAGAGTATATCTACATGCACGTCCTATGTGTAGAATCTAATTGTTCAATGCTTCAGTAAATTTCGTCCCGTCTCCATGCACTGGCTTTAGTTAATAATGTATTGTAATTCTTCTTGTAGTATTGTCAAGGCTTGTATACTGTGAATCGCAATACATTTGTTTATGAAATTTGGTTAGATTTTTTCTGGCCCTTCATTAAAATATAATCGTAACATCAGACATTCTAGCCTAATGCTATATCTGTGTAGACAATCTGGTGGTGGCTCGTTGACAGAGGGAGTGCAAAATTTCATCATGGAAAATTGTATCAAATATATGGTAAGCTTCTAGCTGTTGTATATTTTTACCTATCACTGTCGAATCTTTTGCACATTTGTATAAATGATCTTGCTCAAGAAGAGTATTATTCCCAATCTTCTTCTTCAATAGAGCGTTAGGAATTTTCCGCTGTATTTAAATGTTGCAAAGACCTTGTAAGTTATGTATCATAGCAAATAGAAACCGTTCAGAAGTCCAAAAGTAATGGGAATTTGATGTGTTTCGTATTTTGTCTGAACATTCTAGTACTCTGCTTTTTACTCGTCTCTCCATATGTATTGCCTGGCACGAGGAAGTGATGCAGGTTGACCTGCTTTGCTCAATTCGGGTCTGATTTGAATTACAAAGCAGAAATTGCCTAGGATTACAAATATTTTCATATTCGGGAGATTTCCTAGCGATCATGTATTTTTTCTGCCATATTTGGTTCACCTACGTTTTAGATCTTGGCTTAAGTTAGAAGTCGAAGTTACCTTCTGGGGAATGGATGAAATAGAGATGACAACAAGGATATCGACTGTCTTGCTAATCTGATGGTGGGAAACATGAGTGGGAGATTCTGTTCGTGACTGTTGTAAGGGGAATTGTGTCTCCGGTGAGCTAACTGCTCTCATGTTCATGGCCAATTAATGCTCAAGGTACCTTGGAAGTGCCTGCTGTGCTAGGGTGTATAGGAATTCAATCAGTTGCTGTGGATGAAGTGTCTTTAGGTTTATTTCCCACCTTGTTGCATTCAAGAGCTTACTCATTTTTGTCAAGATAAGAGGGAAATAGTGATGCTAAGTGCTGCTTTAGGAAGCTACTGCTTGCAGGTCTTTTAACGATATATATATATATATATTTGGGAGAGATGAGTCTCCTGCTTGAAGGGCACACACGCTTTCTCTTTTCTCCATCGCACTCTGCTGATTCCTCTGTCACTGTGTGCCCTTCCTGACCTCTATTTTTCTTTTACCTTGATCGTTGGGGAGTACTTGGAGAGGAGTTCAATGCCTTAGGCTATTAAATAAACTGGAGAGGACATGATCAAAGAGAAGGGTACCAATACACAACACATTTTTAGAAGGAAGTTCTCTCATCTTTGATGCAAGCAAATGATAATTATAGTGCCTTCATGATTACCCCGTATAAAATATTTCTATTATTTTATTTTTATTTATTATTTGTGCATTAATGACTATGAATTAATGAATGGACTTTTTTGCTTGTTTCCTTATGCAACAAAATCATATAAAGACTTACAGAAAAATCATGTTGAAAATGCAGTGAAAATTTCATCCTGAAAGGACGAATGCCATAAACTCAATAACATACCCTGAACCGCTGTTGTTGGAATTGAGTTATTGTTACGGTTGAGTAATTGGGTATTAAGTAATCAATAACATATCCCAGAACCACTGTTGTACTTTGCATTTTTGATTTTATCTATGTTACAAAATTGGAAGGGTACAGAAAAAATCACTCTCTGCACTTAGCACAGCCTAATCTAGGCTTCTTTTGCATGTTTCCTACTCCTAAAATTCTTCATGTTATGTTGGTCATGTGTCAGAGTCCGAAAGTGGATTTGAATGTGAAGAGATTTGTTAGGATAAACCCCTACTAGTCAGTAGGAAGATAAACCCGAGATTAAACTGAGGGATTTACTCCTCTCAGTGCCAGTTAGTTTTCAATTGGATGGTCCAATAACTTCAGCAGAATTTCTTTGTCCCCTCTTGACACCGAAAATTGCACAATATAGAAGAATTATGTGTGCTTTCTTTAGACAAAGTCATTACCCATCTTATCATTCAATCACAAATGATCATCATCTTCTTTCCACAGCAAGGACATATTTCCCCCACATTATTGAGTCTCTTTTGTAGAAGATCATGGATCATCTTCCTCATAAACTAGAGATTGATCATTCTACAAGCAGATGATCTGTAAGCTCCACCTACACATCACAATGATAGCAATTTGAGTCATCTACATGAATTTAATAAGTTGGGACTATTCCTAGATTTGATGGCCTATGGTTGATAATCTGTTATGAAGCCAACCATCATCTACAAAAGACGACCTAGAACCCCACGTTGAGAGGGGACTACCATAGAATAATGTGTTAGGGCCTATAAATATAGAAGAGGCCCGAATAAGAAGGGAGGGAAAAACAGAGGAGTTAAGCGGGAGACTTGTCTTTGGGGAGGTCCGATTCAGGTTTCTCCTGTTCTTAAGGATTGATCTGACCTCAGGAACTCTTCCTGTTGTCTGCGAACCTTCTATTGTCTTTTCATTTTCTATTGTTAATTCTTTTGTCTGGTTCTCCAATACAAGCGAAGTGTCAATTCCGTGAGTGGAGCCACTTCTAAGGTAGGATTTGAGCATACATTTGTCAAAATCTCGAGAGGTTCATAATGTTGGTATCACAATAGGACATCCTAGTCTTTTTCTGAAAGCAAGATTTTGTTCGTGCCCTAATAGGGATCGAATTAGCAAGGCTGAAGTAGAAATTCGTTCCAAGTTCGGTTTACAACAAATTGAAGAAATGTAGGTAATTCTTACAATAATTTCGTTCAACCATAGTTCCACATTGTTTTCCATAGAGTCAGAGCATTGGAAGAAGATTTGGCAGATCTGTTGTAGGAAGCACAATCATCTGAAACAAATTAGAACCTATCTCGATCGGCAGATGCTCACCATGTCTAAGGCACATCAGATGGCTTCGCTAGAAGAGGAGGTCACATCACTAAAATAAGGATATGCTAAACAAGAACAATCCCTAATTGAGCAAAGAGAAACTCTCAACTAGATTCTACAAAAATTATCCACAAAGGATGCACACTCTAGTTTGTATCCAAATGAAGATCCAAGAGAGGAACTGAGGCAACCATATAATGGCTCCACTCATTTGAGCCAAGCTTCACAAGATGACCAAATATAGATAAATCAGTTGATAGAGTTATCAATTTTTCAAGGAAATGGCCCTAAGTGATGGATCAAGCGTGCTGAGAGATATTTCTGCCTAAACCCCATGCCAGAACATGATAGATTTAAGCAAATTATGTTGAGTATGGAGGGAGAAGCTTTAGAATGATATCTCTAGATAGAAGATAGGTTTCCATTTCGAAATTCGCCTAACTTCAATAGCCAATTGGAGAAATAGTTCAAGATGTCTGAGATAGGGAGTTCACTGCAACAGCTAATGAGTTTATAATAAACCACCTCAAACATGTCATGATTCTTATAGAAGAGAATTCTAGAATACAAATAACAAAGATAATTTTAGAAAAGATTATTAGAATTCAATAGAAGACACATCAAGGGGTAATTCTATGACATCCAAGCCACCTATGAGTAACTACAAGATACTCAAATTGATAGAGCAGCAATTTCAAAAAGAAGAAATAAAAAACTTTGCTATTATTGCAATGAAAAATTCACTCCAGGGTATCACTGTAAAAAAGAAAGGTATATTATTATTGTGGATGAAGAGCAAAAAAGTGTAAAGGATGGCAACACTGACAAAGGGTGGGAACTGTTTGATCAGGCCATATCCAACACAGATGAGAATGCCTTCACTACACATGTGTCTTTAAATTTAGTCATGGGAATTACTCAACAAGGGACTGTGAAACTTTAGGGAAAAATTTATGACATTGAGGTGTCTATACTCATTGACAGGACGGTAAGTCACAATTTCTTTTGCACCAAAATAATTGACAACTTATCCTTATAAATGGAGAAGTTAAATGGCTACAATATAGTTATGGGTTACAGAAACATAGTGGCAAGAGCAATAATTTGCAAGGCTATTTCTCTCTATGCGTAAGGTGTATTAATAGTACAAGATTTCTTACTGTTGGAATTGAGTGGCATGGATGTGATTTTAGGTATATAGTGGTTAAGAACTCTAGGGTGGATCCTTTCTAACTATGAGAATTTCATAATGAGATTCATGATAGGAGCCAAAATTCACATTTTCAAAGGGGATCCTAGTATCACAAAAATCAGTACGTTACCAAGAAAAGGAGGGAATGAACTTAAGAGTAGCAATGCATATATGGTCGAATTGTATCATATTTAAATAAAGACACTAATGCACCTAATGATCTAGAAATTAGTCTAAAACAAAAATTTCCCAAGGTTTTGAAGCATTGACAAGAATGCCACCTGAGTACCCTATTGACCATGCCATTCATCTATTACCTAGAAGAAAACCTACTAGCTTGAGACCTTACAAATACTCTCATTTCCAGAAGAATGAGATTGAGAACTAGTCTAAGAACTCATATCAACAAAGGTCATACAACCTTCGCATAGTCATTCCTTATGCAAACCTTGTATTATTAGTCAAGAAAAAGGATGGTGGATGGAGAGTTTGTATAGATTATAACGTGTTGAACAGAGCTACAGTTACTAATTGATACCATATTCCAATAGTAGATGAGCTACTAGATGAGTTACATGGGAAATCAATTTTTCAAAACTTGATTTAAAATCAAGATATTATCATATTAGAATGAAAAGGGAAGATGTAACTTGATTTAAAGTTATGCCTTTAGGATTATCAAATCACTAGCAACCTTTCAATCACTTATGAACCAAATATTTCAACATCACTTGAGGCAGTTCATATTGGTTTTTTCTTTTTATGATATATTTGTGTATAGGGTCATGGCTGCTTAACATCTGCGTCATATGAGAAATGTGTTCTTTATTCTCTTTGAAATTCTCTTCATATAAATGTTAAGCAATGTAGATTTGGAGAAAGTAAATTAGAGTATTTGGGCCACTAGGTGTCGACAGAAGGAGTAGAAGTCGATAAGGAAAGATATCTGCTATGATTAATTAGCTGATTCTTAGAAATCTTAAGAAACTCCATGGGTTCCTAGGGCTCATTGGATATTACAAAGGATTTATTATTAACTATGCTTCGATTGCATGGCCACTAACACAATTATTAAGAGAAGATGCATTCTATCAGTTAGGAGAAGCACAAGTCAATAATGCTAATACTAGAGCCCTAGTCATTACTTTCAAAAGACATCATAGAATTTCGCAACAATTCTATTAGCAAGGAATGAAGAGAGATATAAAGGCACATATTAACAATTTATTGCACTACTTGCTTGTGGTGTAAATCTTCTTCATTATCACTAGTTGGATTTCTGCAATCATTATCTATACCTACACAAATATGGGAAGACCCTCAATGAATTTCATTGAAGGCTTGCCCAAATCATATGAGAATATAATATTAGTCGTAGTGGATAGATTAAGTATAGCTATTGCTTTGTATTATCCATTCTCAATCAAAGAGGTCGCTTAAGTATTCATCAAGGAAATTTTAAGGCTCTTCGGGGTTTTCAAAGATAGTGGTCTCCAACAGGGGATGAATATTCTTAAGTGCATTTTGCCGTGAGCTACACACTACATGGGACTGAACTCAAATTCAGCTCTTCTTAATACCCTCAAACAGATGGACAGGTTGAAGTAGTCAACATATGCTTAGAAAATTATCTGAGATGTGTGGTATTTGATAAGTTGAAATAGTGGAAATTATGGTTTCATTGGGCAAAATATAGTTATAATATCTTTTATCAATTTTTATTAAAATGACTCCTTTTCGAGTAGCATATTGTAGGGAACCATCAAAACTTATCAAATATGAGACATCTCCTTCACCCTCAATGCTATAGATCAACTGCTCTCAAAACAAGATGTTATCTTCAAGATTCTAAAATTCAACTTGCACAAAGCACAAGTGATGATGAAGTTTAATATAGATAAGCTTTATAGAGAAGTTGAATTAGAAGTAGGTGAGTTGGTATTTCTCAAGATCAAATCATATCTGATGAGATATTTGGCAAAAAAGGAAAACGAAACGTTAAATCCTCACTATTTTGATTCGTATCCTATTATTGAAAGAATTGGACTAGTGACATACAAACTCTAATTATCAGACCATTTAGCTATTCATCCAATGTTCCATATATCCCAGCTCATGAAGACACTTAGAATAGACAATAGAAGTCAACTAATTCTCCCCACACTATCAGAAGATCAAGAATAGGTACTAATTCCAGATGGAATAAAATATCACACGTCGACTCCTCAAGCTTGGAGATATTAGTTTCATGGAAACATCTTCCAGAATTTGAATCATCATGGATGATAGTATTAACATTCCTTCAACAATTCTTTATATCTCACCTTGTGGACAAGGTGAAACTCATGAGGGGAAGTAAAGTTACGAAGCCAACTGTTGTCTATTAAAGGTGGCCTAGACCCCCATGTTGAGAGGGACCATCATAGAATAATGTATTAGAGCCTATAAATACAGAAGAGGCCCGAAATAAGAAGGGGGGGAAAAACAGAGGAGTGAAGCGGGAGATCTGTCCTTGGGGAGATCCGATTCAGGCTCTCCTGTTCTTGAGGATCGATCTGACCTCAAGAACTCTTCCTATTGTCTGCAAACCTTCTACTGTCTTTCCATTTCCTATTGTTCATTCTTTTGTCCGGTTCTCCAATACAAGAGAAGTGTTAATTCCGTGAGTAGAGCCACTTCTAAGGTAGGATTTGGGCATACATTTGCCCAAATCTCAGGAGGTTCGTAACATATCTCTATGAACAAACCTAGACTGCCACAATGTATTTGGAATTACCAATATATCAGCTATGAATTTATAAGTGGAGATCACTTGAACTCCAAGTGGCTGCCATCTGGGTTGGGCACAAGATCCTTTGGGAAGGGTAAAAAATATGTAAGCTTTCTGATCTCCTTTCCCTGCTTATTTCTTCTAACTGCAGTGTCCTATCCTCCACCTGGTATTTTTAACATCATTGCAGACAGAGCTTGTGTCCTCCCAAAGCTATTGCTTCACCAGTGCCATTCTTCAGCTTCCCCTTCTCTCATCCATAAATCCCCAGAGAATTTACTATGATTCCTTAGTCATTAATATAGAAATTCTTAAGAAAGGCAAAATATATTGTGGCAAGCAGGACAACACAGCATCACACATCCTCCCTTGATACAATTCTAGTCCGTATCAAACTCATGTGTGCTCCCAATCCTTCATTATCCGACACCACTTGCTAGAGGAAGGCCTTACTGCTGGATTATTGTAAAATTTTATGGCACTATTCGAGAAGAATTTTGTAGCCTTTTACTCATTCAGATAATTGAGGAATCATCTTCGGATGGTTAATTTTTTATTAGTGTATATAGCTATGGAAAAGAGTTTAATAAGCTCAACATGTGGCCTTTTATTTCCTGTTGGACACGTGCTAGCTAACAGGTTTACTCATGATGGCCTTTATTCTTTTTTGTCACCCTTGCCATGGCACATTGGAGACAATGCTTCTATCAACAGTACTGGTGTTTCATTGTGGTATCTTTTGCCTTTCAAAATAATAGTGCTTCAGATAACTTTCATCTTTATTTCCATGAATTATGAAATTTTAAACCTTTTGTAAAATCAGAGTTACTTCTTTCAGTTTTCTGAGGAGTGGCTTATGCTGACCACATTACTTTCTTGCTTATTTTTTTAGATGAGCAAAAATTGTGCATCTAGCCGTGGATATACCAAAAATATCTTGAAGAAGCTTATTTCTAGTGCAGAATCCAGTGGGAATTCAGTTTTGGAAGATTTATATGAAATTTATGCGAACTATATCTCCCCAATCAAGGTGGTTGATGTCCCATAGTTTCTAATATTTTTCAAAGAAATTTTGTTACATTTTGGATTATTAGTTACTTGTGAGTTATATTGAATTTTTTTTTTGTTTCCTACCTTTTATTTTGTTTTCTTCGTATGTATAGTAGAAACGTAATGTGGGTTATTGATTTTGTTTTTTGACCAGGTCAATAAGAATGTCATTGACCAAGTCTTGATTTTCCTCTTATTTTTTCGGCTAGCCACTGCTAGACAGAGAGCTAAAGAGTGCTCTCCAAGAGGGGGGCAAGATGCCTTAATTTTCTCGAGAATTAAGTCCCTCTAATAGATGATTAAGATTAACAATCAGCTCTCTTGATGGATAGCCCAAATTCTTCCATGAGGGTGGCACTAAGATGGGTGGCTTAGAATTCATCTCTTGATAACCCTTTTAGATTCAAATGGGTTAAGTTAAGGTGATGCTCTCTCTTAGGCCTATAAACATATTAGGTCAGTCCTTTCCATAAAACTTGAGTTTTTCTTTGGATTGAAAATTTAGATTTCTTTTATTACTTTCAACTCATAGTAAGAGTTTACTTAAGTTCTTGCAATTAAATAATTATCAAAAAAATATGAGAAAATCACCACTAGACTTTATAAAAGTCAAGTAGGGTTAGTTTCATAATATAAATAAAATAATAAAATAATATATATTATGACTTAAATGATAAAATATTATAAATGTCATAATGAGTCGGTAACACATGCATAATTATATTCTCTACCTATTAATTAACATTTATATATAAGATATTAATACATAGATGCACTACTAATTTATAACTATTGGATAGCCTACATTATCCTCTTATGTTGATGCTTTAATCTCCAGTTATTTATTGGGCTTTGGTGCATCTTTTTATTTTTACCTTGTTCTTTTTCTTTTCTGCACCAAATCTAATGGCAAATTTTCACTTCTTGGTTGTCCTTGTCTTATGCTACTATTTTTTATTAACAAATTATGTTTGATATTCTAAGCAAAAGTGTTGGGCAATTGTCTTGACCACCTTAAAGCCTATATCAGCCAAGGTTTAATGGTTGGATAGTGGAGTGTCGTCCTGGTCACCTAAAAGGTTTTAGTAACCAACATTTCATAATAGGGAACTTTTTAGGTCAAGTACTTGCTTAATCCAACTTCAGACCGGAATCAACAGATTCTTGGGAAATATGGTAGCCCAGAAGAACCCCATTCAAAATAGAAATAGAGAGTGAAGAAAGGTATATAATAAGCACTTGTTTTTCATACAAGCACAAGTAGTAACTGGCGGAGTGTCTATCAGTGGCAACCGCAGGGAGCATCAGGTGGAGCAGCAAAAGTAATAGCATTGGTTTTTTGCCGTGCATAGGCATGGTCAAGGATGATCATTTCCTCTTTTTCGTTCTTTTGGTCCTTTATTTCTGTTTTACGGGAGGGTTTCATTGAAGCTCAGTCTTCATAAAGAGTTGATGTTATAATAACCTCTTCTGTTTGAAACTCACTTTACCTTATGTTGAGAATTCTGGATGCATTGAGAACAATGACATGGAGAAGAAACCTCTGTCACGGAGGACAGAGGGGAGAACTTTTTTTCACGGAAACTGCCTTATTCATTCACCTTTAATGTCCCTTCAGTAGGGACGAACTGGATGCACTTTCCCATAGTACCCTTAGTCCTTTACAATATTACACTTAGATCTTCTAACACCTTATTTCATTTCTTCTCTTCAATTTTAATCAACATTGTCTCTGCATTTCTACTTCGTTCATCTTCTGAATTGGTATATGCCTATTTTTGTAGAATAATGATTTGGCATCTTGTTGTCTACATATTCGTTTATGTTTGTCTTATATTACTTAAATTGAGAATCTGTCATTAAAGATATGTTTGAATCTTGGAGAAGAGGATCCAACCCTATTACATGCAAAATATTTGTGGATGACTTATTAAACTATTGTATTTGCTCTCAAGTTGAGAAAACTATGAACTTTTTTTACCATATGTTTTGCTTTCACATAAAACATGACTGGTCTTTTTTTAACCAGTTGCTTAGAGGCTTAACGTGAATCTTAAATTCTTTCAGCTTGTTGTTTAAGGAAAAATTGTAGATTCAGATTAATGTATTTCCATTAAATGTGTTATTAAATGATAATTCTCTAGATTAGTCTGGTTGATGGTTCTAGTAACTGCTACAATTCCTAATTTTTAATCGCTTCTTGAATATGTGATGTTAGTTCTCTTAAACGGTATTTATTGTCTCACTTACCTTGGTTTTTTTATAAAAAAAAAATTGTCTTTGTAGGAAGACTTTTCACTGAAGCATGGTACTAGAAACTTCAAAAACATTTCTTTCTTCTATTCAAATGGTATGTTCAAATGGCGCATGCTGTTTTTTTCTTAGGCATTCTTTATCTTTTAATATATGTCATTTGACATTATTTTAAAACTTTTCTAGGCTTTCATGAAGGGTCAGGTTCAGTGAACTTTGTAGTTCCAATACAATGCTCATCTAACATACTAGAAGGAGATACTGGGTATGTCAATATTCACAATCTTTTTTCCTTTATTATACTATTCAATATGTTTATGAATAATAACTAATTTTATCAGCTTGAATGGTTGCCTTTAGCATTTCTTAATTCTTTTCAGGTTCACAGGAAAAATAATGGCTAAATTTTAAACTTTGTAAAGTAAACCGAAGATGGTATGTGGGGAATTAGGCGTAATGTCTGCTGGTGGATTTTCTCATCAAGCCTCCAGGCTACCAACAAATAAATATCCCATTCAATGACTCTAGTTAAGACTGTGATAAATTACAGCATGGTAGGATTTAACCATTAATCTGTTGAGTTTCTGAAACTGTAAATATTATCGGATTTATTGCTGCTGCACTGTTCATTATAGTTACTAGTGCTTTGTCACTTGTCATCTTTGTAAAAAGAGTCGACCAAAACTGTTAGGTTTACTGATACTTTGATTTCTTTTCTTACCAATGATCAGAGGAAAAATACTATAACATTCTTTATGCGTGGATAGGATGTATTTTATTATTTTCAATTTTTATCCTCGGAAAGCTTTTGCATGTCAAGAGGTTGAGCTAACTTGAAATGAGACTAGCACGATATATAGTGTAATGTGATGACCTCTTTTAAAATCAATCTTTCTTAAACTCTACCCTTGCCATTGCTCAACTTGATTGCTTAGCAACCATGATTTAGTCATTTATCCTATATTTTTTATCCAAAGGAGGTATCTTCCCACCTTGTGAAGGTTACCACCCAACCCATGTACACGATATAGTGGTTATTAGTTGAGTGAATTTTATCCAGTGATTCATTAGATTGTTCCCATGTCATGATGATTTGTTTCAGTTGTCATTTACCACAGCCAACTGAGATGGGGAAGACAGAAGTCTAATTACCAAAAACTCTTGGTAATTGTCATCCTCAAGCAACCGTTAAAATTTTCTGACAGCACAATCCAAGTCATGTTCTCTATGGGAGAATTATCATGTCGAGGTGGCATTGTCAGTCTTACTTCATATATTATTTAAGATTCGAAAGGCTCCGGAAATCTCATGGAAAATCTTTTTTCAAAAATACTCCGTTATGAAAAATATTTCCTATTGGAAGAATTTTGTGTACAAAAAGGGATTAATAGGAAGGAAAGGGGCTGTTTCTCATCCAGATGTGTAGGGCTTGCTGAAGAACGAGGAAGAAAAGAGGGTTGGTGTAGATCGAGATTTTCACAGGTTCTATTGCATACGTTGTGGGAGATGTGGCGAAAGTAACTTAGTATGAGCGTCCATTACCACAAGGAAATACTGTGGAACGTGTTCTAAGAGGGGTAACCAGCCACATTACAGGTTCCCATTTTTGCGTTTTGGAGACTCCATAGAGAGCCATATTTTTTGAAAGCTCACTTGTGATTATTTTGATTCTTTAAGCTTCCATAAGGATTATGGGAACGTGGACAGTTTATTGACTCTAAATTCTGAGAGGTACACAAGTTATCAAAAAGATATTTAAGAAACTAGAACAAGTGATGTTGTTCTTTGCGCAGTCTAGCTAAAATGGAAGAAAACTAGCATCTATCTTAACTTTTAGACCAAAATGTTCTGCAACCTAAGGTGGGAGGCAAGAGTTTGAGGTGAGCAAAATCATGGCGTGATCCTTTTGCACAGGTTTATGTTGGTAGTTATAAACAATTAAATTGGGGTATTGAAAAAACTCCACATAAGTGACTCTGTATGGGATTGAAATAAAAACTTCAATAAGAACAAAAAAAAAGTTGCATTTTGTGCAGCAACCACTTGGAAAGAATTGTTTGTCTTCACGGCGACTCTGGCATATTATTGACATGCAAGGTCATATTTAGATGCACACAATTGCACTGGTATGTCTTTCATGAGGTCTAGAGATTGATAGAATGATGGGTGGCTTGAATATAAATACCCGGGAGAATAGTGGCTATTCATGCTATCAACAATTTTTTGGGCTGCTTGGAAGTTGAGGAGTGGACATCTTTCGAAAGAACTGCGACATGAGCTGAATGGGTGGCAACAATCCAAAGTCGCTTATGCAAACAGAAACTGAGGGCTCACTCTCATCCATTGTTTCCCTATTTTAGTCCTCTTTTTGCTTTTATATTTTTTTTTCCATATCTGTGAATAATTTGGTTTTCAGAAAAAACTGTTTAAATGCTTTTTTTTTAGTGCGGCTAATTCCCTCTTCTTGATCTCAGTAGAATAGGCGATTGAGTTCATGCCCACCACCCCAACCTTGGAAGAATCAGTCTCATGATGTCATTGAGCAGTGTGATAAAGAAAAACATCCATAGTGAACCGCTTTAGGTAGATCAGGGTGATTTACTGAAGGGAACCAAATGAAATTGAAAGCAGCTTGGCTCTCCTGGAGGAAAACTCTTCCTCGTAGGTTGTAAGTTAGTATGTCAAAGTCTAATTCCTCTTGGAAGGTGGCAGAGTTCTATAATTACTGGCTTCAAGCTCAAGTACCAAGCTGTAGAGATAGATCCTGTGAGGGTAGCTAAGAAAGACAATGGATAAGGTGGCAGAGTCCTTATCCATTGTGAACAGACTGTACTGTGAAAACCATTTTGTGCTCATAAAAGTAAGAACGAGTTTATCAACAACCGAATGGTGAAGTTGGTTTGACTTCGCTTAGGTTCGCTCGCTCAAAAGTACTGATTCTCAATGTTGGCACTGTTTAACAGAGTTGCTGGAGGAATAGCGAAAGAGTATCCCTTTAGTTGGCATATTAGGTTCTAGCATTAGTAATCTGCCCAGTGGTATATTCTATTGATGGCTTCTGTGGGTATGGTTGCTGTCAAAACATTTTGGAGGATACAGCAGTAGTTTGTTGTGATCAAATGCCATCTTGGTGACTGTGAAGGAACTTTGTCATCAAAACTGTTGACGGGTAAGAGTGTTAAATTTAACAGTCATGTCTGTTATGAATATTGCTCCACTCCATTTGTTGGAAATGTAATGAGTCTTTTGCCTTCATCTGGAAATGTAATGAGTCTTTTGCCTTCATCTCAAATACAGTAATTGATCCGTAAATTCTTATTCTTCTATTTTTTCTAGGTGTTCTATTTGGCCCTCAAGCCTTTTCTTGTCAGAGTTTATACTTTCTTATCCAAATCTCTTTTGCAATAAAGTCTGTCTCGAGGTAAAGAAAATTTTCTTGTGGTTTGTACTCAGAGACATTAGTTACCTATGTGCTTATTGAGTTGTATTCAACTTTTATTGCTTTTCATGTGATGTCTTTTTGTATTCTTTGTTTTTGTTTACTCTTCGGAGGCACACTGTTGCACTTCCGGTGAAACCTGCTAAGCTGCTTATGTCGGTTCGTAAATTTCTCTTTTTTTTCTATGCACATACAGCTTCATACTTTTCAGAATTGTGTTTATGAGGATCCCTGTTGAGCAGGTCTAAACTAAGAAAAACCTATAGAGTTGGCTACACAGTTGGTCTACTATTGTATATACCACCGTGTAAGTTTTTGGCTGTATCCTTTCCATGCTCCAAGCAATAGCATACCTTTTATAGATGACAAGGCACTATACTTGTAGCGGGGAAAATATGGCTTTTTTGGTGGCAGTTATTTTTCCTCTGTTTATGTAGAGCTGGACGCTTTTTGCCTGAAAGATGAGACGGATTGGAACAGTGTAACCAAATAGGGGTTCTTTTGGTTCAGGGGTACGTTAGCTGGTGTTAGTTGTCCTTGGTCTAGTTCAGCAGTTATTTGGGCTGGCATGAAGATATAATGGATGGGGTTGAAATTATTGGAGCCAAGTATTTCGCTGACAAACCGTTGGTCCTTAGGGACGTGTCCTCAGTCTGAGCCTGAAAACAGATTATAAATTGCGGGGATAACTAAAAAGGACGGTATTCAGGGAGGATGTCTTTGTTCTTGGTAAAAGTATCATGTTTTACTTCAGTGGTTAACTGGTAGCCTCGTAAGCATTATTGTGTAAGATTCTCATTTGGATATTGGTAAAAATAAGGGGAGGGTATGTCAGTGTAGGATCATAAATGAGGCTGCTCTTCTTTTGTCCTCTGTAGGAAGCATTCGAGAAAGTGCAACTAGTGGTGCACTACAAAATGCACATCAACAACTGTGAAACTAGAGGTCTGTCCATGACGCTGCTGGGGAGTTATTATGAGCACATCAAACTGAACTGGGCTATATGTGTCTGTCTTTCTCTTGCTATACATATATGTATATGTATACATATTTCGTTAGCAAGGGGGACTGATTTTAATAGTCGGATGCATAGAAGTTGGATTGGTAGATCATGATCTTAGGGATAATTGTGGCTTCCACTAAATTTTTTATGTTTGATAGCATTAAAAATTCATATCCGAATTTCAACTTGGATCAAACTTGGGCTCAACAAGTGGAAAATTAAAGTTACTGCTTTATAATAGAATAGTAGGTCTAAAGACAATACACTGATAACTCTCTTTCCAGAAAATCCCTACTTGATCAAATAGCTACGTGGTACTTTGTAGATGGTTATCATACCTGTATCATCGTAAAGTGTGCATTTTCGCTCCCGTTATGTGACTATTTTACGAAAACCTGAAATCCAAAAGACCTGATTCATTCTGTCAAACCATCTCACTGCTTATGCTACATGAAGAACTATGTTCCTTTTGTTTTCAGTTTGTTTCATTGATTGAAGTTATTAGTCCAGATTTCCCATCAGTTATGACACCGTTTATGGTTTCTGCTAAAGCGGAAATAATCTTGCTTGATAGTGTTTGCTCCTATTGTTGACTGTGGAGAACAATTTTCTTTCCTTAGGGCATGCTATGCATTATTATGCCAGAAGATTACAAATCCTGTTTTGCTGCTCTTGTCTAACGATTAAAAATCCCTTTTACCACTCCTGTCCAATTTAGATTCCTTTTTATCCATTCACGAGGATCAGACTGCTTTAATTTGTAAAAAGTTCTTAATCTAAGATTGTGTATAAATTTTAACTTCTAAAGCTATTATTTATTCAATTAAAAACACTCGATATTTCTGTTTTCTGATGATATTTTCTATTTCTCCCAAACGTACCCTGGACATTGTAGAAAATTAACCCTTTCTTGAAGGGATTCCATTCCTTTTATATGAGAAGCATACATTTTTGTTACATGGAAAAGTACGTGTCCATACAGTTTGCTATCTCATTGTGCAATTTTCCTTTGAGATTCACCCTTTTCTTCTTTGGCATAAGCTGTACATAGAGTTTATTCTTCCTAATTCTTTCTTGACCCTACCAGTCCAAACTTATACTTTATCATGGTACCTTGTCCCAATATGGTTAATTCTCTTTTTGGTCCCTTAGGCATTTATTTGCGTTCATAGGGTGGTGGTTGGGGGGGGGGACTCATAATTTTTCCCATTTATTATTCTGAGTCCATTTGCTCTACCACTTGAAGTGGTATTGCATTTGGGATCTGGTATCAGTTGCAGTTGCTATGCATTTAATTCGTTCAAAATGGATCCTTAGTTCTTAGGAATTAGATTTCTGAAACTTCACTGTTTATTCTGGCTGCAGATTTTGGAAGTGGGAAAATCAGGTTGGATTGTACAGCACAGATTATAACTTGTCACCTTTGACCCACTTGGCTTGAACTTAAGTTTTTGTGGAAAATCCTCCTAAAATAAGTAACTCATTCCGTGTAGGAAATTTTAACTTTGCTCTTATATGACTAGTGTTTATTGGTTGTCAGAACTATGGAAAAGCAATCCAATGATTTGCATAGAGTTTGTGAAGAATTCTTTTAATACGACATGATGATTATCTTCGCAATTCTAATGTTCTGGCCCTTGCTTTCTTTCTCTTCTCATTTATATTTAGATTATCTTTGGATTTTTCTATGGTTTACTATTTTTGCTGTTGCATATTCAAATCCTAGTGTCTTAAACAGTGGTACAAACCCCAGGAAGCTATGCTGAAGAAAAACTCAACTCATATTCACATCATAGATGATTTTTATATGCAAATACCAGGGATAAAAAACAAGGAATACACCTAATGACTAGAAAAGCCGACAAACTAGGAAACAAACCAACTGACTAGGAAACAGTCGAACTAAGAACTGAACTCCTAATAATACGTTCTTTCCCACACCTAATTCTGAGGGGGAAAAATGAGTTTTCTTAGTAGCTGACTCTACTGTGTGATTACTGATATTTTTGCTTTTGCAGCATTCACTACATCTGTTTTTTGTTGCATGGGATTAGCAAATAATACTAAATATACCAAATCATGTTGATTATCCATAAATTTATTTATTTTCTCATTTTTATGAATATTACTGTTGGATTTTATTTTTTATTGTTTTATTGCTTATAATTTTCAGATTCTAGCCGTGCAAATTTAGAACTTGTGACTTCAGTACTTAATCAACATATTTTTGGATTTGCTGCGTTCATTACAGCTTGGTGCAGGGGTTGGTTTGGTCGGTATCATCCTCAACAAAGTGAAAGCCTCAAAGGTAAACTGTCTGGGAGGTATTGTAATTTGAATAAAATAGTAATTTCATTGCACCTCTTCTGCTACAATTTCTTTTCTGCGTGTACTTTCTAGCACCATTAGTGTTGTATGGTTTATAATGCTGTCTTCTATGTTTTTTTTCAGATAAAACACTGTGCTTTAGATTTTTTTTCTTTTGTTTTCTCTTGGACTCTAACAAAGGGCTTGTGATGTAAAGGGTTGTGTATGCTGATATTTTAATATGTTAGATGAGTCCAAGCGAAAGAAAAGTGGTGCATTAAATCAACGAGTTACATCTACGTAATGTTTTGGGTACTTGAAAAGTATCATTTATGAATTTTTAAAATTTCATGATTAAATTCACTGTCTATGATATCTGCGGTATTTTGGTCATTTTGGTGGGGATTCTAGCTGATTACATATTTCGGAAGTTATGCCTGAACTTGTGAGCCATTTTACCGCACCTCTGGATTAATGTTATCAATCTGTAGTTGCTTAAAGTACTACGTTCCTCTTCTGTGTCATCCGTTCTTTGGATGCCCTCAGTGGATCACATATAAACTCTATTTCAACACTCTGAATTGCTACAATTATGTCTAGTTATAAGGTCCTGTGTCACATGCAGGTGATACTAACTGACGGTGATCTCTCAACGTTGGAGAACATGCAGGCCAATTTGGAAATCAACCATCTTCGAAATTCCAACGAGGTAATCACAGGAGGTATAGAAGTTGTAAATGGAACATCTTGTACATTTTCTAGCGATGGGGTTTTCAAAGGGCCATCTCCCTCCCTAGCTTACACCCACCAGATCATCCCTCCTCTGGCATGATTGATAGACTGACGTTCATGAATTGGCTCCACGAGGAGCCATTGGGAGGGAGCTCCTTAGCTGAAGTCGACAGTCAAAGTGGATAGCAGTTACTACATTTATCAATTTTATTATGTTCCGGTGCAACTTTCAGGTGGAGTGCAAACACCTGTTATGGGAGGTAGCTTCTGAAATGGAGATCACAAGCTACGATCCAGACATTGTGTGAGTGCCTTGTTGTCCTCTCAATCAGTGAATCATTAATGGAAAGTATGATTTTTTGGAGGCCTGGCCCAATTTGGCCGCTACGCTTGGGGCCCTGAAATCAAACCAAGAGAAAATTAAAGAGGCCAGGTGCTGAGCCCTGGCTCATGTTAGAACATAAGCATTGGATCCAAGATGATAAGATGCGTTTTTTATTATTATTATTATTATTTTTTCTTGTTGGTGAGGGATAATGTTGTAAACTTTCTCACAGATCTCTTGTTGCAGAGTCGGTGCAGACATCATTTACGATCCTCTGTGTCTGCCCCATCTAGTGAGGGTCTTATCCCTCCTCTTGAAGCCGAGGAGGTCCCACATATCGAATCTCCATGAAGGAGATGGGACTCCTGCGGGTTGCGGAGAGGAAGATCCAGTGAGAAACGAATCAAGGAGGAGGTCGGAGGCACCCGCCGCTTACATAGCCGTCGTCATCAGGAACGTGGAGACATTCCATTGTTTCCTCGAGCTGGCCCGTGGGGCCCACCTTGCTGCCGTTGACATCACCGAGGAGATGCCGCCATCGCAGCTGCTCCCATACATGGGCTCTTATGATCGGGCTGGAGTGAGGTTGTACCAGATCTCGTCTACACGCAGTTGAGTTTCTTCTGTCACAGTTTGATGATCCTATTTGCACAACCATGGCCGTGGATTTTTCTGTGTTCATCATGTGTTTTGAGTGATGCTAAGAGTAGAATTCTTCATTTTTCTTTTTCATTTGCTTTTTCTTTGTGCCTGGTTAGATTTTTTACTGTGATGTATGATGCTCGAGTTGAATCGTCATTGTAGTCTGCTGTTCTTTTTTGAACTAGTTATCTTCTTTTTCTTTGCGGCTGGTTAGATTATTCGCTTTCATGTGTGATACTTGAGTTGAATCATCATCATTCTTTTTGGCTAATGCTCCATATTTTTTAAACTAGTTATTATTATTATTATTATTATTATTATTATTATTATTATTATTATTATTATTATTATTATTATCATTCGCTGGTTAGATTAGACGATGCAAACTTCTCTGCTCTCTGAACATTAATTACCGAGGTTTGGAAGAAATTTCATCAGAAATTTCTCCGACAGTGATTAAGATCTCATAAAAAAAGGCTTTTTTTTCTTTTTTTTAGCACATGAATCGTGGCAGTTTATCTTCTGGGAGTGATATCACTTCCTTGGCCAGCATGTTTTGAGATCTGCTGCATAAATAATGTTACAAACCTTGAACAAACTTAGATGATACAAACTTCTCTGCTCCTTGAACATTAATAATTACCCTGCTGTTGAAGAAATTTCATCAAAAAAAAATATATCATCATCATTGATTAAGATCTCATGCAAGCAAACTTTGGTTGATAAAAGTTTGCAAGACCCTTCCGAAATATTCTGCCAGCTTTGTAACCCCCATGTACTCGGATAAGATGAAAATATCCTCTTGAGCTGAAATATTTGGCAATGAATGATCCCATTGAATAAGTATATACTACTCATACTTGTATCTCGTGTTACACATAAAACCTGCACCACTAACCACAGACTCCATGAGACACCATATTTTGATGATGGCATATTAATTTTTACAGAATCATGGACAGATTTCTATGGGAAATGTCTGTAGGATTTTTAGTCTTGATATACAGCTCCGGCAAACATGGATAAACGGAGGGAATGATGAACAGTGGGCGAGCAAAGTCCACGAGATTGGGTTCTTTGATTCCAATTGAAAATGCCTATTTCATTGCATGATATGATAGGTTTCGCAGAAATAGTCCATGCCATACCATGGTTGAAGTAAGAAAAATTAAAAAAATAAAGAAGGCTCATTGATTTCGCGGGGTGGAAACTGGTTGACATGGAGATCCTGCATCATACCAATCCTTGGGTCAACGCCCCTCTTGTCACTTTAGGGCGTTGAGCTCCCCCACCATGGCTAAAAAAGAAGAATTGCAGTTGGAGGTGCTGCTAAGTATCAGAACACAGTTGGGAAACAAGTTGCAACACTCCGTGCATAGACCCATCATTCTGCAGAAGAAGAGATCCACAAAAAAAAGAGAAGATGAGAATGATGGATACTTTGGGGGAGGGATGGCCTTCAAGGAACAGAAATAGAAATGGCAGTGGACAAATCAGAGGGAAACTCACAGTGAACACCACATCGAATGCCTCGCTGTAGGTTTTGAGAGATTCCTCGACATTGTTGTTCCTATGAACACAAATGGACACCATATGAACTACCATGAATAAGACAAGAATAAATGTCTTATGGAAGACAAAATGGAGAGCATTGGTATGTATACTTCAATGATGTAAAGCAGAGCTCCATGGGGCTAGCTAGTAACATCCCTCTGGGCAGAGCTCATTCGCAGTAAGAAGATGAATTGATGGAATGCTTTTCTATTATTATTATTATTATTATTATCAATCATAATCAACATTGAGGATGATCTGCTTTAAGGGTCAAACTAATCAGCAGCCAGATTGACAAAATGAAACCTCTGATCGTCAAGTAAGAAATCTAAGTCGAACTTACAGGAACCCAATGGCGATGCGGTTCTCATAATTCAAGCCGTCGGACATTCCAAGGTCCCCCGTATGATCTCCGAGAAGCAACACGTTTGTTCTCTTCTTGACTGACATATTGTCGCCATTCGAGCCATTGCCCTCTCCCAGCTGTTCATGTACTGGGGCAGCCATATCCAGAGCATGCTCGTTCTTGTTCAAGACATGAATCGTCTTCCCTGTCGGCCAAAAGAAGCAAGATGAGTAGTAGAAGAGAGCGGTGAATGAAGAGCATCACTCAAAAAGCAAGAGAAGATGTAGTAGTAGTGACAACACACAGAAAAATTGAAGGAAGATGAGAACAAAGAGAAGGAGAGCGGCGGCACAGAAAACAGTGGAATTTAAGAGCTTTTGAAAGAAGAGAGAAGAGGTGTGGGTAAATAGAAGATGGCCATGAATTCCCTTGCTTTAGAGAAGTATCATACCTTTGAAGGCAACAAGGCGGCCGTTATCAAATACCATGCGGTTTGACACTATCTTGATATTTTTGAACGATCTATGAAGTTTTTGCCTGAACACCTGAAGAACATGTGACACCTGCTGTCAGTTGAAACTGGTCGAGTATATATAGCTGGGATTATCATACCGACCTCTTCTATAATGTCTGCAAGCCCTGCAGAGAAAACCAGAACAGGAACACCTTTCTCCTGAGAATCAAAACCGGGGACACAGAATCAGCCAGTAAGTCACAGGAGCATAGAATGATTAAGCAAAGAATCACAGGAGATTCATAGAATTCGTAGAGGAAGGAGCATAGAACATGCTTCTAAGACTGTGCCATAGGATAACTGGAAATAATGACGAAAGCTTCCAAGGTTAAAATGTAAACGAGTAGAAAGCTTCAACTTCACCCCATTGAAAGGGTATGTAGACTCAATGAGAATGGCGGAATATTGAGCTTCTGTAATGATGATATGACTTAGTGAGGCCAAGCATCTGATAGCGTGTAGCTCTGCATATTCTACAAAGTTTTATTTTATTTTATTATGTAGGCATGGTAGTTCTTGATGCATGTCATGGAATCACTCGGAATTTTTAAGCCACCATTCACCAGTTACACACTAGATATGAAAAGAATGCATCATATTGAATGTATGCTCTTGAACATTGAATGCATCAGATCTAATGATTCCAACCAAGTCCAATTTAGACAACTTTGTTTGGATATTACCAAACATCAGTGAATGCAATCCATACCTCTAGAAACTCAAATAGTTCGACTACCCCATCTCTAAAGGCGATATTGGCATTTGAGACAGACTTCTGAATGTCATTGTAGGTGAGGCCTCCTTCGATAAGAAGAGAATGGGTCTTGTCCCACCTAAAGTCATTAAATCAGTTTCTTCAGTTTCTCGAACTTAAATAAGATACTGACCGACGGAATAGAAATAAACCCTTGTTTTCATAAGCACAAGCTGGCAAGTAACTACTTGACTGGACCGTAAAAAGAATAATGTTTTCTATGCGGAACAGAAGAGAAAATATCCATCAATTTTGCCTCATGTTCTGTCCTTTTTATCCTTACTGAAGGATTTCTTAATAAACTCTGTTTGGAAATTAAATGGAAGTAGCATGAGGAATCTATGATATTTTGGAATGTACATTACCAGGAGAATTTGACAATTTAGTGAGCATTAATATGAATCGAGTTGTTCTCCAATTGCTTTATGATCCAATCCTCATGTAATAAATCTTCAGGCATAGGATATACAACCGTGAACATCACCAATGGCCGAATATGAGTTAACATGCATGTTTATACTGCTAACCAAAAAAATTCTCCAACTTAAGATGTCTATATAATTACAGTAGAAAAAAATGAAAAGTAATACTTCCAAAGTTCTGTGGAACCTTGTTACTCATAAAACCAACACTAAAGCCCTTTTCTTTGAATATGAAAGGTTCCATGCATCTGTGATTAAGATTCATTGGTAAAATCAGTAAACAAGCTTCCTTTGTTTTGAGCGAAGATACACCCTTTCTTCTCTCATTTTGACCGATGGACTGAAATTTAGTGGTCATCAATCAAAGAAATTTGAAATTTTTTGGTCTTTGACCTGTGCATCATCCAATAATTAGAGAGGACTAGAAACTTCAAATCTTTTGAAGAAGAGAACTAACTCAACGATGGATGTAGAAAGGCGGTCATTTTCATGATCTGGAATTATTTTTTCATGCTTAGGCCCAATGGAGGCCAGAGTTTCAGGAGAAAACCACCATACAACGAGTCGAATAGATGCCATTGGGTTAGGGACATTCCACACAACGACTGGCAAGGTTGAATCATCCGCGGGCAAATGAAGCATATTTTTAAGCAGAAAATGCTTGAAAAAAACCATCTAATTGATAGCATTTTGCTCTTGACACTAGTCGCATGAAGTGATTACCATTCTTCCATGAGCTTTGTCTTTTCATCTATGGGAATCGTGGGGGAGTACTCCAGCGGGTGATAATATTCGTACAGTGCCTGCCTCTTGGCATCGTACACGGGATCACTCTGCTGCAGTAGGCCGTGACTGGCTACAAACCAGCCACAAATGAAATATGTTAGGTAAAAATACATATACATATCGATCCAAAAAGGAGAATCTATGTTAGTTCAGCATCACAGGTAAGAACACCAAGAGGTTAGATCAAGAGCATACTCTGTCCACGGCAACCGTCAATCCAATATCTAGTGAGCGTTCCATCGAAATCTGCAATCACCTGAAAAAAAAATTGTTGCCCCGAATAGCATGTTCACGCTGCATCAGTCGAGAGAACACCACAAAGTGCGTCCCCCCTTGACAAGCCACATTCGCCAGGAAAGCCGGGAATGATAAACTTGGACGAAAAGAAGATCTCACCTGGAGCTTAGCAGGCCCTAGCTCGCGAATCGCGGCCTTCTTCTTCGCCAGGGATTCGGGGTCACCGATCACCGCTTGTGCAGGGGGGGAAGTCAACACGTCGGCGCTGCCTCCCATTTTCGCAGCAGCAATCCGGGTGATTCCGCTGAGGGGATAGGAACGGCGGACGATGCAGCGCTGCCTCAACAAGCGGGCCTCCGACAGCGAGCAGAAGAGGAGTGAGGTGGGGGAAGGCCGCTGCGCTCGAATCATAATAATAAGTTGCACAGGCGGCGCGGAGGCACGGGAAGTTTCACCCCCCCCCGGCTCTTCCCTTGTGCCATCGCCTCTCCCCAGCCACCTACATTAACATAATAAACAGGGAGATATGTTGAGCATGGGGAGAGAGAGAGAGAGAGAGGTGCATTAATTTGTTCGAAAAAGTGACAATAAATGAATAAATAAATAAAAATATGGCTACTTTAATAGTTTAGTAGAGATGTAGGTGAACAAGAGCCAAGAGGTCCAGGTGAAGCAGAAGCCCCAACCTTCCCACTCCACCAAGCAACAAAGCCTTCCCCTTCCTCAGAGGCAGCCACCACCCATCTCTAATGCTCCTCAACAACATACATATCTTAGGCCTCAGAGGCCTACCACCATCACCACCACCCACATCATCATCCATAGTTTTCCATGGAAGAAGGAGATTTCAACAGCAGAAACTCATCACCCAAATGGGGCTCCAAGGTGATCCATGTGAGTGTATTTGGAACTGCTCGTCTTGTCGATGGAACATCTATGTGGGAGTTGCATCACATGAGAGGAGGCAAGTCACAACATGACGTAGTATGCATGGAGCAGCAAAGGCTTGAGCATAGATAGGTGTCTGCACTACTTGGACATGTCATGAACCTCAAAGTTTATGGGCATTAGGTAGGAGTGTGCACACAATATGACACAACATCCAATGATGTAAAGGTGCATGACGTCTTATGACATACATGTGCCGCATGGGGAGCAACTATTGTAGATGAGGGTGTCTCTTCATTGTGAGCAAGGGTGGTTAGGGTGAGGAGGGTCAGGAAGCTAGTTAAGAGTGGTTAGTATATATAAACAGGTCGTCATAAATGAGAGGTTATCTCCACCATGTATGGTCCTAAAAAGTTAGGGATGCACATCCCTTGAAGTCATGGTGTGTTTTCGCATAGTGGTGAGGTCGTTTGGGATTAGTTGAGCAACTGACAAGGCTGACGTAAACTGTATAAGTGAGTCAACGATGTCAAATGAGAACAACAACAGATACGGGCAAAAGATCACCTATTGAGAAGAGCAAATCTATTTGATTGCCTTGCCACCTCTGTGAAGGCCATATGAAGTGAGAGAGAGAGAGGGGGGGGGGAGAGAGAGAGAGAGAGAGAGAGAGAGAGATGGTGGGGGGGGGTGGGGGGGTGGATCAGAGGCTCAGCGAATACGTGATGAGAGGATGCAACGATAACAGCTCACATAGATGTTGCGCATATATACCATAGATGGGATCCCAGGAAACGTATATCGCCCATATATCGTTCCCAGCAATAGCAGGCTTGGTCGGAAGACCATCCACCTGACGTTTACTGAAAAATCACATTCCACATTCAATGATCGAGTTGGGTCAACCCCGAGCTCGCCCTCCTCAACCCAAAGAATAATCAGTCGGGGTCGACGGTCTGTCACAAACTTTGGATCAAGCCCAGTCTGATTCAGACGGTAGAAGCAAGAAGCAAGGAGGATAGCCTTACTGCTGCATTCATGGCGAAGCCCGCCCAATCAGGTCAAGTAGATGCTATCCAAGACGGCGAATCCAGCAGCAACGCCGCCCTCGTTCGACGACGAAACCTTGGTCCGCATCAAGTAACCGCACTGGTCGTTCATGAGGACCTTGTCCTTGCTCCTGGGTTGAAGAACCAGGTTGGGTGGGTGAGAGAACGAAAAAACAATCAAAGAAATGCACTGGTTGAATCACCTCAGATAGGCACCGTAGATGCCCAGTTCCGAAATGGCAGAGTCTCGACGACACGTCCCATCTCGAACCAGATGTGTGAGAGCAGAAGCTGGGAAGATCCTCTGCATGAGGATGTATGCGGCGAGTCCACGGCCGCCTTCCTGCTGCAGCTTGGCCAAGGTTTCCCTCACGTCCTCGCCATACACGTTGTTCCCTGAAGATGGACCATGAGCTTGTCACAAACAGAGCAAAGCCGCTGGGCCTGGTGTCAGAGGGGAGAAATCGATGGTTGACCTCCTCCTTCCCGCTGGGGTTTAAGGACGAACGATTCTGGGCTTTCCATTGCCTTCTCCAGAATTTCAGAGTCCTCCAGGCTCCACAAGCCCGCAAAGCATTTGCGCAGCTTCTCAATGTCATCTTTATTGTCAAGAAATCTGTTTGCCAAGTTTCAATTCAGGATTACAAAACTCTTGAATGCATCACAAGTCGAATCAACAAAATAAACTTTCTGCTAGTTAGAAAAATAGTCAACGGTCAAAATTTTAAGATTTGATCATGATGCAAAACACAATAATATTTGATACTTCACCAAGATCAGCTTTTGAGATCAATTTCAGTGTGTTGAGGATACAAGTTGCTAGATTGACACTCTGAGCAGTTGCTGATGACGGTAATGATGAATGTAGCATAAAAATTTACAAATGAACAAAGAATGAATCGATTTCTCGGATAAATTCTTCTTAGAATAGTTCTATCACCTTTCAAGCACATTGGGTTTTGCCAATTCCTGCTGGATCTTTTTGGTACCCACCAAATGGTAAGATATAGATGGGCATTTAATAGCAGAAGACTGTTCCATCAGAAACCTCGCTCTCCATTCCTGTTCAAAGGAAAGTTTACAGAAGAACAAAAAGAACAGACTCTGATGACGTGTTCTTCAAAATGGAAATTTAGCAGGTTGCGTAACTTCATTTACATTGAAAAATGATAGAATGATGAACAACAGTTGGTACGAAAACCATAAAATATCTTGACTATAGAAACATTCCCCAATTTTGACTCTTCTAACATCTTTCCAACAGCAGGTTCACTCGAAAACCAGACGTATTCTCTTCAATCCGCATCTATGTTCTTTATATTTCTTCAGAGTGAAAAAAAATAAAAGGAGGGTCATTAAGGCTCACTGATTCCGAGGGATAATCATTTGGCGAATAACCAGATCTGAAATATACCACTGCCACTGTTCTGCCACCACTGCAAGCGTGAATAATGTTAATACATATTAAAAGACATAATTGAAGGTATTTCAACCCCTGATCCTTTCTGTATGCTTCAGTTTTGGTTTGCGAAGATACAGCCATTTGATTGTGCATCGTAAAATCTTACATACGAAATGTCCCATCTGGAAGAAGCTCTCCTTCCGAATCCACTTCAGCCAACGTTTTCCGAATACTTGTCACGCCATGCGTGTGATGAAGTTAAAGAAAAGTAAAAAGACAAAGAAAAACTGAAACAGAAATCTGTGCTTCAATGAAAGACTCTTGCACAAATGCATCAATTATCTGACATTACATGTCAGGCAGAGTCTGTCTTGCATGTAACGTTTAAGAAATGTCAAAATGATTAACCAATCATCAATTATGCAATTTCAAATTTTCTTGGTGGAGAAACGGGTAGAGAAAGCATAATGAAAGAGGAAGATCATAAACAAAAGGATATATCTGCTTCAACATAGTTGATAACCAATACTGATCATACATGTTGTGCTCCTCAGGTTTGATTACCACCAAAACAATGGAACTGGAAACCAGAAGGATGAGTTAATAAATTCCAGAGGACACAAGATAATAAAAAGGAAAATGTGAACGTAATGGACCTGCTATCATTATATTCATTCCAAGCTTTTGCCAGAGCCTCGGCAAATCTGCTCACAGAAGTGTTTCCAGGTACTCCTCTAGAATCCAAGCCCAGCTGCTTTCCAAATTGATTTAACAGGTTCCTGCGAAAAAAAATCATCTCCTCACTACTTAGCAAACTCACTTTGGTTATTTTAGAATTAATGCTTCTGGGAGAGGAGATAAAACGCGAATTTCAAGAATAATTATACAAATAATTACGAAAATTATACGCACAACGTTGATACATAAAAACAGAATACTTCTCGAGGATGCATTATTTATAGCGAACTTCATCAATGTACCTGAGGTTTCTCTCACCCCCTCAATGCTGGATTAGGCTCCTCTTCACAAGAGACAGGTGAGCACATTATGCAGACTATTCGGGCAATATCCGATATCCAATATCCAAGATAAAATAACAACACGAAGGCTCAAATTTAGCAACTTTGAGAGCTTCGGTGAGGAATTCATGTCTTTTTCTAGGTCCTGTCTGGAATCCACTTCACTTTCAAAAGATCAGATATGTACGCACACAGTTATTATTAGAAATCGTACTAACTGTTGCGAATAGGAGACTACAAAGGATCACTGGCATAAACAAGTTTGGTGCATACTATCTAATCCCATGTAACTTCGTATTAGTTTTTATACCACATCTACTATTTCCTGTTTTCAATCTGTCTCAACTACGATACACCAATGTTTCTTATTGTACTCCTCCAAGTTGAGAATTTGAGAATTAAAAATTGGTGTTACTTGCCCTCAAAGTTCTACTCTATAGTAGAGGAACCAGGGTAGACCTTAACGTGTTCCTTACCACAAATAACCTTGAGTAAAATATCTCCACTGACAAGGAAATTTAAGTTCAGTGGACTAGACCCGCACGATCTTTGGGAGTGAAGCAGTCTAAAATCATCTTCCAGGCCTCACGTCAACCTTACTGTGAAGGTTACTCCACGTCCTAACTTATGACAAGAGAGTAATTAGACTTTAAAAATTCAAGAAAGGGAACGTGAAATTTCTCCAATTTTTCCTCATTTTATCATCAGCTCTGATAAAAAAAGTCAGAAAGCCTATTTGGTTTTCTCACGTGCATACCTACTTAAACCAAAGTTAGAATAAATGTGCCATGTCTACTAAAACACAAAGAGCACATATTTATCATTTGTTTGAGTTAACGTCTAGTTTCACGAAAACGTACAAACAAATGATGAAAGATATTGTATAAATTAAAGGACAAGTGAAGAATTACAGAAGGGATAACAACCCCAAAGTGCAGAAATTGTAGAAAAGAAATATCTTTCCACCCCTCTCACAACTCTTAAAGGTGACAATATATATGATTCCAACCAAGCGCATCTAAAAGGCCAAATCAGATCCAATAACCAAGCAACCCCAGCTACACAAAAATATTTATTTCTCAAAAATCCTATTTGACAATTATTTGCCGTAAACTCAAATCATAATTGCATCTTAAAGAAAAAATAAACCATTCAATGGTTCCAACTCAGCGATTTTAGAAATCATCTCAAATCTACCTTTCTTCCCAATAAAGTAATCTGTCTGTATAACCCAACACCTTATAATCAACATATTTCAGCTGTATCCAATTGTAATCCATACCACTAAAGTACAAGCCAATTTAAAAATACCATTGAAAAATTAAAATTAGGCAAAGTAAGTCAAGCTTCAAGACAGTGTTGCATGGGCGAAGGTAACAACAATATTTTCCGTTTACCTAGGAAAAACTCCATCCTTATAGAAATAGCAGTTCATAAAGAAATAGCATCCTTCGTAATTTGAAGAACTTACATACCACTGGCTATGGCAAACAAGAACAATGAGAACGGAAAATTCGCAAGATAATGGGTGAGAAGAGACATCAAATTAGTCTAGAATGGAACAAAGTACGTTTTGGTCGACCATACCTGTGGAGCTCACTGACAAGGCAACCAAGACCAGGGAATGAAGCAGATATCGTATTGAGCTCAATTTGATAAAGTCGTTTTGTTGCAGAATCAAGCATGTAATCTGAACGATGCAAACCTAAACGTATATCCTAATGCAACAATAAGGCCATATCATTTTTCCACTGAGTGAACATATTGTCTGATAAGCTGTATTGTAAAAATGGTCAGCTCTGGTGCAAAATATGTAAAAATTACCGGTCAGCTCTGGTGCAAAATATGACCATCATAAGAAGTGTAATGAAAATTTCAAAAAATGTTGAGCAGGAAAAGTCACCTCCGTTTTATTCAATTCCAGCATTTTCGCATGGATGTCAAGAAGTCTGCCGGTGAAAGTATCCACTTCTCTCGTTCTACAATAGAAATTAGACATAACACATACAATACACTATAAGCAAGACATTGGGCTTTGCTCATAATATAGTGGGTTTCCTATTTCAGAATATGGAACACAAAATGTTTATGACCGAAATCAACTTCTCATTTAGACGATGATACAGTCACAAAATTAACAGGAAGAGATATCATGAAATCATTAATTTTTAGGGCAATATCTACATATCCACCTTGTTAAAGCAGTTTCAAATAAGCAATCAACATGAGGGTGGTTTTATCAGGAAATGACAACCTGACGGGAAACATTAACTAATGTAAAACCTCTCTATCTTGTCAACCAGATATTCTAACCCAGAATTTTATTGGTCAAACATAGAATTTGGATGCAAAGGGCTAGAAACTTTGAACTGTGAAAACAACTATAACTAAGAAAAATGCGAAAGAAGTTATTGAACAATCTGCAAAGTCAAATCATACCAAATCAACCAACTTATAGGCTCAATCAACCAGGCATTGACCACTTTTAGATATACTGGCCGCTTTTTGGATGGTTCGGATCTAGTTTTACACAGAGAATGGAAGCCCTGTTCAGCAGCAAAGGCTAGAAGGAGAAGAAGAAAAAGGAAGGATGGGGAGGAGAGAAAGAAAAACCCTCATGGAGCAACTTCTGGTCACTATTATCTGTCACCATTACTAGTCAGGCTGGCTACTATGGTTGGGGATGAATTTTAAGAAAGTCAATAGTTAAAATTTGTGTAGTAATTTTTCTTTCAAAAAATTCATAGGTAACCTTTTAAATAAACATAATTATGCATACTATAACTTGTAATAATAACAATTTATTACCTCTTCCAACCATCTCTCCAGTAGTCTTATCAAGCAAATCCAATCCTTGTCTAGATAAGGTCATACCTGACAAATCTAGTAAACTACTCTGATTCTCAGGACCATGTACACGTGAAAAAAGGAACCACGTTTAACACGCTGAAAAGAAAACCTTCTGAAACCTTGGAAAACAATGGCACAACACTGAGCCCATTGCACTCTGAAAAGCTATCAGATCGGTCATTAAACGTCAATCTAAGCAAGTGTTTGGGGTCCAATTAGCAAAAAAGTAGCAGATTCGAAAAGGAAGATCGGAGTTGTTAGGGCATTGAGCCATAGCAGAGACTTGATTTCGCTGGGATCAGCCCCCTTCATCTATTTATCATATACAACGCCACAAGTTGATCCCCACACTACCTTTTTAAGTGTTTTACCATGGATAAGGAGCACTCTTCTTTCAGTGAGGGAATTATTACCTTCTAATTAGAGTAGTGTAACACCCGATACAATTCAAGACCGAACGCATTCCAGACAGCACAGTACTCTGTAGCTGGTTAGGCATCAGAATCGACATCATGGATACACGCTTTAAGAGTTCCCCATTGCCCCCACTACTTTCCAATACTCTAGGCTCGCTCATGAGCAATTTGGTCTTCAAGTGCCCAACACCCAAATCAACACTGTTGCATGAGCACTGGTCTTAGAAACAGCTGGTTTTTTCCCACATTAGACCTTTTCCCAAAAGGTCCATTGGAAGTTAAACCATTATACTTATTGATTCTTGTTAGGCACCCCTTGCCAATAGAAGCACAATTATATTTCTTCAATTACTTTACAGAGATTCGGTGAAGTAGCATTTTCATTGTGTAGTTTCTGTCCAATAACTAGCAATAATGTACATCCACTGAATACATTCTCTAATGACTGATCCACCTTACCAAGAATGCAAGGACTCTCCCCATACTTATTAAGGTCCTAACATTCACTCAGCAAATTGGGCATAACCTTGAGAAACCAAACGGACGAATTCATTCATCTGTTATGATACGATAAGCTGCTAGAGCCTTTGGATCTCCCTCTTCTTTCCCACTCCGCCTCCATTAGTCTATTTATACTTCTAATAAGTAAGAACGATTGAATTCGGACACTGGAGCGAAATTCCTGACGGTGAACGACACAGAGCATGCAGTAAATGGTGCATAATTCCTTATCACATATCATTGATATCCCCAATTTGCAGAAACGTTCTCACAGCATCTAATTTTGTAATAGCGTTCCCATCTTGTTAGTTAAGAAATGGTAAACGTTTAACTTTCCATGCACAGAAGGCCTAGGATTGATTTCCTGAGCAAGAAGTTCTAAAAGTTCATCTGGTCGTTGGAATCAAATAATCAAATACACAAGTAGCAAGACAGCATACAACAAAAGATTTAAAACTCTTGGAGGCAATGTTTTAGGAATTTAAACAGCTTCGGCAGTTTTTAGAGAGGATTATTTGATTCAAAACACAGACCCCAAAGAAAATTTCATACATTGCAATAAAGGGAACTTCTCTATTAGATGAACGGTAAACAAGTGGCGGAAGGATTAATGTAAAACGAAAAGCTTTCAATCTAAAATTTAAATATTCTTCGGAAAGTTCCTGTAAAAGATCACCTACTCATGAATGTTGTCTCTACTCTAGACTCCAAAGAGAAACGAAGTCATCTCTTTTTAGAGAGGATTTTTAAGCTTCAGTAAAAGATTCTTTTCAGATCGGTCAATGTTAAAGAAACAAATGTTATGCGTACAATATGTAAAAATAACACACTGGTTTTCTAAGGTCTATAGAAGAAAGAGAAACATAGACGAAAGGGTAACCTGAACAGTGATTCTTGTAAAAACTTGCTATCCAAGCTGACACGATCCACAAGCTCGTTGAAAATGGGAGCCAATTCACATGCTTGCCTCCAGAGACTTTTTGGAAATGAGACAGGCAGCAAAGCAAATGGAGCATGAACCATGCCTACACCAGGGATGTTCCCTGATCGCTGCAAATCAATTAGACATATTTTGAATTAGATGAAGAACAAAATAAGTTGTTAGCAGATGACTGTGGTTCTAAACTTTAGAGGTAGGTACGAGCACTTCAAATTAGAAACCACCGAAGAATCAGTTCCCATCATGATTTTTTTACAACTGATGCTTCAGTAACTAAGCTCAAATCCCTCACAGTAAAAGCAGGCATAGATCTTTAATTTTAAATGCAAACTTCCAACCAAAATCTGGAGAAAGATTCCAACCAAAAAATAGAACTGGAACTGACAACAACCCGTATACATTGTAGTGTCTACCACATGTTAGGGACAGAGGCTGGACTGTCCAGGAGTATAAATGATGAGTCTCCTTGTAGTCCATAAAAGATGGAGAGAATAAAAAAGATAAAATAAATTGAGGGATAGAAAAACCTCAGACATACTGTGCAGACACACATCTCATAACAAAATACAGATATTTCCTTTCCAAGTAAATGTCTTAACTCAGCTGTATCTCTCACCTCTCACTTAAGGAAAAAGATTATTCCCTATTACATCAAAGTGACATAATAAGAACAAAAAATATGGAAAAATACTATCTCTGTCGGGCTTGAGATGAGCTTGAAAAGAGTACCAGAAAAAAATAGACAGTAATTGAATTTGATAGATTATGAGTCATGGCTCCGCATGGGAAGGGTGAATATGGTGCAAAGTTAAATCCCACATTGACTTCAATGAACCGAATTGAATACAATGATCCACGTTGTACAGAAAAGTTTATTTAGTCTATATTTTGGAAGACACAAAGATACAAGAAGAGCATCAATGACTTCAAGGAGATAGACAAAAATTCTGCCAAGGCTCCTCCAGAGTGCATTGATAATAAAATCTCGAAGTCCTCAGGATGTGAAATTATGAGATGCAGATCCGACAACTGAGAACTTGGGACCCCACAATGGTTCAGGAGACTCCCAGCAAAGCGAAATCCAATCTAATTTGAGTTCAAGGACAAAACATTAAGTGAGAAGGAAATAAAATTTGGAGTAGTCTAAGTTGACAGGTACTCAGAATGGCCAACCATTATTAATAGGAATTTCTAATGATAGGCTTCACCACTTTACACTTATCATTGTCTTAGAAAGCAAGGAGACTATTGAATGCGAGAACAAGGTTGATAACCAAATCAACCTGGTAAGTGGTTATTTTATTTACCTCACACCAAACAGAGATCTAGTAGGGACTGTCAAGGGTCGGGTTAGGAAAAAGACTGACAGGAAAATGTTCTCCACTTGATATTATAAGATGTTTTTTAAAGAGACTCGGATAACGTGAATGATCAGAAAGAAGGAAAAAATAACTAGATTGATTAGATTAGTCCGTTTGTTTTAGCATGATCGATGCACCTGGACAGAAAATGAATCAACAGGCAGAGATTCTTTCTTCCTAAAGCTTTCACAAAGAAAAATCTGATGCATGACAGATAGTGTGTATGCCTCATTTGGTTTTTGCTAATTATAAAGTGGCATAGTTTGAAACTAATTACCACTCGATGTCATATTGATAGAAAATTTTCTACAGTGACTCAAGTTTTAAATCGTAACATTGCATATCCATTTCATCATAATGGGAGACTGCCGATTCAGGTAGAGTGAAAAACCTTAGGGGGGAAAGAGAAATCCACAGGGGAAAGGGCCATTGTGCATGCTAAGAGATAGTCCAAAGTAGTAAGAGAGAGTGATATTGTTCCCAAAGTATTACAGAACCAGTTTCTAAGTCCTCATTTTTGAATCAAGTGGCAGATAATTCCCTGATTTTGCCTCGTATCAGGAGACTTGGCATGAATCCTCATCAATTGGCTGCCATGTCAAAGCCAGATTTTCTTTTTCAAGAATGCATAAATTATCCTAGACAGCTGGCAAAGAGGTTGGGAGTAGAGTGCTGTCTGAAGTTGCAATCGAGGAAGGATAAATGTGAATGTTATGGTCTATGCCTGATCGGGAACCAAGCTATTTTTTTAATCAATATTTGATTTGTTGCAGTAGGCATGGAACACAGGTATCTGATGTTCAATGAGCTTTCAAATGGTCTCCACATGAAGGCCTTTCGTCATTACTCTGTGATTTCCCTCTCAGATTCGAAGTCATTCGTTCCTACAGGACATCTTGTCAATTTTGTGATCCTTTCCCATTTATGTTACTGCTTCCTGATACATAAACGCAAATTTTACAGAAATAAATCCCAAAATGGAACAATTTCTGATCAGAACACATTTAAGGTAAATACATGGAACAATTTTCCAACCTCAAAATGTTTTGACTGAAAGATTAGAGGGAAGTGTCTATGCTTCAAAGAGAAAAGGCTGAAAGCTACTTAAAGCAGAAATAATGCAACCTCCTGGGCAAAACTTGGTTGGTCTGAGCGGATACAAACCTTCATGCTCTTTACTTTGTTGCATATAGAACCCTGCCGTTGGACATTTTATGCTGCATTTGATTTTCAAGGATGTTTTAGGTACTGTAATGTGTGAAATATAAAATTGGAATTTGAGGAGGAAACACATGGAGCTGGAGTCCAACTTCATGATCATTGGTAGTCTTTCAAATGCACACCTTGTGGTGTCTTGAGTACATAGCAAAAGCCACGAAATTCCACCTTGTTGCCCAAAATCTCCTGGTTTATCTTAAATAATTGGACGCAACACTTTCTCTATGGAGATCGCTCATTATATACTTCATTTAATATGAATCACAATCTGTGACGTCATAATTTGTCAAGTTAACGACATGTCTTGTGGCTATATATCTATGGCTACTAAAGGAAAAAAAGTAGAAAATTTTAAAAGGAATAGATTTTCCTTTCAAGATTTGGGTTTTCCGACATTTGAAGATATTATGGTTTTCGGGTTCTGGTGAATAATAAGCTACTAATGCTTAACTTCATTTCAGTGAAATAGGACACGAATACTCGCCTTTCGCTACTGTAATTTTGGTGGATATAGAACTAAGCTATTCATCACCTGTAGATGTGGAAGGGTTCGGGTGAAATTCTCATAGGTTTGGAGTTCGTTGCCCAGCAAATCCCTCCAAATTAGAAAAGTTTAAGAGAGATTTAAAGCCCTTAAGATCGGAAAAACAGTAGACAATTTAAAAGTTGGAAGGATTACCCAACTTAAAATTGCGCTTCCCTTGGGACAGATGGTTGGTCTTTCTTTAATGAACCTTGTTCTTTAGTACTTTACATTGAATGAAAAGTAGAGCAAATCATTTTTTAAGATCTAACAGAAAAGAATGAACGAAAATAAAGAAACAATATAGACAACGGTTTGAAATTCAGAAACTTTCAGATTCATGGCGCCAGCTCCTGTCTTGTATGAATAACGATGGTAATAGGTAATATGTATTGCACACCGTTTATTATGAACAAGTTCTGTTTGAACGCTTGTTAGGGTATCAAAGGATTGAGTTAACTTTTAGCCAATGGAACTGACCGTAATCTTGTATCAAGACAATGAATATTAATTGCTGTTGGTCCCGCTGAATATGAGTCATACGAAACCCAGAAGCAAACTGACGGCGGATGTTCAAAATCTGGCATGGATTTTTTCCTTGCTACTCAGGTTGTTTATGATCTTCGTTTCCGTTTCAGCTCAATTTACATCTATAACGCGTAATATGCTGATACTCAGAGAAAAACTAGTCAACATAACGCAGCATCAATGAAATTGCATTTAGGGAGACCAAGAATCTGAATATCTATGGTCGGCCCATCGTATCCTGACAGTTTCTCAACGTGAATCCGTAATTAATGATGGGTATCTCTACTAAGGTCCAGTGCATAATCCACTGAAGTTTCTCAATGTGAATCCCTAATTAATCATGTGTATCTCTACTAAGGTACAGTGCATGCTCCACTGACAGTTTCTCAATGTGAATCCTTAATTAACCATGGGTATCTATATTAGGATATAGTGCATAATCCACCGGACAAGAAATCTATTTTTAATCTTCCCCAGTTTCTCAATGGGTTTGCCCTTCAGCTCAATTTGCATCTATAACGCGTAATATGCTGGTACCCAGGGAAAAACTAGTCGACATAACGCAGCATCAATAACATTGCATTTAGGGAGACCAAGAATCTGACAATCTATGGTCGGCCCATCTCATCCTGACAGTTTCTCAACGTGAATCGATGATTAATCTTGGGTATCTCTGCTAAGGTACAGTGTTTAGTCATCTCCATGTTCGATTTACTTTATTTTTCCCCCAAAAAGTAACTCACTTAAGCAATTAAATCCCCTCTGATATTAAGGAATAATATCTTTGATCAGAGTTTGTCCTTTGAGAGATTACCACAGGACTTACTCTCGTGCACCCAACATGTGAAGGCATATGGCCCAAGACTCCCGTCTTTCCTTATCTTTAATTGAGAAGAGTCCAGTAATCACCTTTAGACGGTTATTCAATAGGATGCTTCTTGTGCCACATGTGCTGGTCCTCCGCATAGGAAATCAAGCTAGTGGCTGGAAGCATAACCGGGAGTTATCATCTCTGATCCTTACTAGTGTTGGTGTTTGAAACCAACAAGGATAGCGGGGATGGAACGAGAACTGACCTTACCAATGATTGTGCTACCCTTATTTCTCCCTTTTACTATCAACAGCCTCTTAAATTTTCAGGTTGCATCCAATCTTCATGTTTGTCTGTTAAATCAGATTGATTAGCAGAATAACCGGTACCTTTTGAATTCAAGCCTTGGCACTGCTCACCGTCCTTGCATCAATTAATGCGTTTCGTTTCTCTTCCTCAAGGAGGAGAATTATAATCTATAGTCATCTATATTATAAAGGGGATTCTTTACACTTCAAGGTCAGACATCAATGTCTGTGGATGCCACAGTCTTTTATTTTAGCAGTCGGGTACCAGTAACTCTCTTGTCTACCATTCCTAGATTCTGGTCCTTTAACATCTTCGCCACCAGTGGAACAGAAATGTATTTCCTCAGGTTGAAAATAAGCAACAATCGTCATCTGATTCTTGAGAATTCGCAGAATGACCCGCCAGAAATTTCCGGCGTGGCTCTTTAACCATGTTAAAATTTCAGTCGGAAGTGCCTCATTTTTCCCTGTTAGAGAGGGCATGTCGCAACGAGGATGAGCCTCAGAATCTCCCGCTTACCAAATAAAGGCAAGTACCCCGACCTTTGCGGGGAAGGAAATTATCCCCCGACAGGAATCATATGGGAGGGAGTTTCAAAAAAAAAGGAAAAAAGCAACTGTCAGCTAGAAAAAGGAAAATTCTAGCGTTCAGCTTCACAGGGCAATCTTTCGACGACAAAGCGAGGATCATCATCAAAGTCAAGTTCCGAAAAAGGAAAACCACATTTTCACCTATTTTGACAGGACAGAGAATATCCACTGACCGGCACGTTCCTGTCGCCGACGACCAGCCCGTGAAGGGCGCTCCACACCAGAGCCTCCGAGAGGATCTCCGGCAGCAGCCCCGCAGGGATGTCACCAACAATGGCATCCGACACGGACCTGGACGCACATCTCTCCTCGCGACCCCCCGTCTCCCCAGCCTCAGCGAGGACCGCGGGGGGACAAGGCGACGACGACGAGGACCCGGCGGCGCTGGACATGGCCACCGGTCGGGCGCGGCGTTCCCTGCGGCAAGGCTGGGAATGGAAGTGGGCGGTCTTGACGCCGCCGGCCCTGCGGAGGAGGCTACTTGATGATGCGGCGGCGGGATCGGAGAGAACGGTCGGAGATGGAGAAAACGACCAGACGACAACAACCCTCCCCATATGCTTCTCCCTCCTCCCCGCCACCTCCAGGAAATATATACCCCCGGCTCCAGAGCAACAACGACGGTCCTTCTTTAATACGAATCGATTTGCACGCCACATCAGCACGACCAGTAACGATCATTCTTTTTCCTGAGACCTTTTTGCTTTGGTGGGCCCCTGGCGCGTCTCGCACTTGTGTGTGCGCATCGAAATGCAGCCCTCTGGATTGACTGTAGGTGACCGTTGGGGGTCCCACCGAGGGTTGCGTTATTCGAATCCGGCTTCGGGTCCACATCCGACCCGGGGGGGGCATCTGGAGCACAATCAACGGGGGGGAACCTTTGGTTTTCTAAAGCGTCCCACGAGGACCACGCAAGTAGGCTCCTAGTTGCACTCACTCATCTCACGCCACAAGACCATCCACCACACACACACGCACACAATGGAACGCATGCATTTTTAAAAGACAATAATCACAAAAATGGAATGTTTATCCCTTTTAGAAGATAATTCTTCCATGATATGGTAATTTTTTAATTTTTATTCTTCCAAGATTATTTGTATTTATCTATTATTGTTATTTTATTTTTATTATTTATTTATTTATTATTTTTACAAAAAGGTCATTTTCCTTAGTGTGTGCATGTGTGTATGTGTGTGTCACCTGCATGGTGTTATTGCTGCTATGTTGCTCGTGTGGGCGCTTGTGTTGTTTGTTGTCACCATACTAATACTACATTCATGGCATGGTGGTATTCGATGCCACAACTTCTGAGGTTCCCACAGACAATCCTTAGCATTTATTCATATGATTGTATGTCATCCTTAGCATGCATGCATATGAGCCTACACGCTCTACATGAGTATATTACACTATCAAGGTTCACACCTGGTCCATGTGATCTTTGCTCTGACTCACATGTGGTGTTAAAACCCACTTAACTTGTGTGTGCCTCCTCTGTCCACTTAAGTCCTAACTCTTCTCCACATGCCATGCCCATCCCTCTATGAACTCAATGGAATTTTGCCTATTGACATCACACACTCGCATGCACACAACGTGTGTCTATGTGTGCCACATCTCTGCACATAAGCCCTATGTGCATATAATTCTCTATCATCCTTAGCATGTATGCCAACAAGCCTACATACTCTACATGGTCATACTACACTATCAAGGTTCACACCTGGTCCATATGATCTTTGCTTTGACTCATAGATGTGGTGTCGCCCACTTAAGTCTTACTATTCTACGCATGCCATGTCCAGTTCCTCTATCAACTCAATGTAAGTTTGCTTGTTAACATCATACACTTACATGTCTATGTGCCACATCTGTGCTATGTCATGCCAACTTGTCTATTTATGTATGTATGCATGCATGCATGCATGTATGCACCTAAGGGGGTATTGTGTCGCACCTAAACGTTGTTGATAAGGTCGTCTCACCACGCTTTTTTCGGTCTTGGTCGCACAAAGCTGGTGGTGGTGCTCCCGTAGAGAAAGCTACCTGCCCCAATAACTGTCAACTGGGGAGGCATAGGAGTTGACCATTCCAGATCACGATTGACCAGTCAAGGCCTTAGGAACCATTCCAGCTGGTCTCAAGGTAGATTGATCGAGGGGCCGGATCGAGGTCAACTTGAGAAAAGATGAAGCTTCCCGTCCACAAGACTGGGAGGGGAGACAAATCAGGCTTCCCATCTTTTGGGAGATGATTTTGCTTTCCTTGTTTTCTCTTTATACTTTGGGATTTTGCCTCCACACTCTTAACGACTTTTAAAAAGAAGTTGGTCAACTTCCCGTAGAGACCCAGCTGCACCTGTGCTCACGGCGGTCAACTGCCGCCCAGCAGTTCCACAGAGAAGAGGAGAACAAGACGGCAGTCGGGGGGGGCGTTGACTTGATGAGCCCTCGGTGGTGATGGCCGACCGTTGGAGAAGAGCTCAGGGGTTTGAGAAGATGGGAAGATTATTCATTTTCGGAATTACTTAGGTGGAACAAAATTAAAGTTACTACGGTGGTGGTGAAGTTATGGGAGATACTATTTTTAGCAGGATTAGGCGCGGAATTTGATCGATGGGGCGGAGAGGGAGGAGGGGCGGGCGGCGCCGGAGCCCATCCGGCGGGCCTCCTTCCACTTCTTGATGTACTCGCTGGACCTCTCGTTGATGTCCGCGGCAGTGGTGGCGGTGGTGGTGGTGGAGGGGGCCTCCTGGCGGCTTTCGCCACCAAGCGTGACGCTATTCAAGGTGATCTTCCGTACGGCGCCGGTGGCGGTGGCGGTGGCGGTGGCGGGGGGGGCGTCCTCCACGGGGACGATGATCACGGCCGGGGCGCCTCCGTCGGCCCTAGCGCGGCGGACGGCGAGGAGCTTGGTGCCGTGGAGGGCGAAGTTCTGCTTGTGGAAGAAGAAGGCGTAGATGCGGCTGAAGAGGCTCGCCGCATTCTTCGCGCCGGCGGCCTCTCCTCCTTCCATCCCCATTCCCGTAAGAAGCTCCGAGCGGGAAGACAGACGATGGTCCTTCTTTATAGGGGAGGGGGAGGGGCCTTCCTCTCCTCTGTGTAACAGTGGATGTTAGGTGGGGATTCTTGCTTCGCCGGAGGGGTCAGGTCGCGTGGAGACGCGAAGCATCTCCGCCGGAGAGCACCCATTCCTTTCGTACTACCTTTTTGACGACAGCCGCAGTCCTCCTCCTCCTCCTCCTCCTCCTCCTCCTCCTCCACGCCGCCGCTGTCACTGACGATGGGCTGCGCTGCACCGGGCATCTCCCTTCCGTCGGAGGAAATGGGGATTTGGATTAATTGCGATTAGGTCCTCGTCAAGTTTTCAATGGCACCAAAATCCTATGGGGTAGAGAGAGAGATAACAAATTCTTTCTCTGTAAGATGTCAACTGCATAAATATAAAACATAGAGGGTTGCATTGAATAAGATCAAACCTTGCATCTGAGGTAGCCTGTTTGGAGCCCAACTCAAGTGGACATGCATCCCATGGTCAAACCTTGAATACATGTATTGACTTTAATTCTACCTCAAAATAGTCAAACAACAACAGATAAGACCTAAGAAAATCATATCTTAAATGTGTCCAAATTCAGTTTTTTAATTTTTATTTATTTTTGTCCCTTTCAGAAATTCCAAAATTATTTGATTAAAATTTAAATTTTAGGCGCCCAAAAATAAAACCTTGTATTTAAAGACAATCCCTTGTAGACATTCAATCAATTCTATAAATTTGATCCTTTTGAAGTTATCTTATTCTGCAAGTGGATTCCAATGCTCCTTGTGGATTCAAGGAATCTTTTTGATCTTATGGACTCAAGATCAAACCCTTGTTAATTCAAGAGTCAAAATATCTTCATTATATTGATTTGAGGACGAATTGTCTTCAATGAAACTAAAATTTTTATGGATTCAAGGACATGATTTTGACTTCACATGACTAAAGGTATGTCACAACTTTTGTTGCACTAGAATCCACCAAAATCAAGGAAGAATCTCTCTCTCTCTCTCTCTCTCTCTATACTTTTGCCGTTATTTAGATAGACAACAACTAATGTTAAATAATCTCTTGAAAACCATAAAGCTAGAAGGATTACTAAGAGAAGAGGAAAAACCCTTCACATAGAATGAAAGATTTTGGATGACATTCATCAGTAGTGCTTCAAATGAACTGACCCATTGACCATTAAGTGAAAGAAAATAAATATTAAGAGTGTTGATGAACAGGGCTTATGTTTCCCTAATCTTCAATGCCCTTCTGTATCCCTAGGGAAAAAGATTCTCTGAGATGAACCCTAAAAAGGTTACAGTAGATCAAGATGGTCAAGATTCAACCTCCACATGCATGTGTTTCAAAATCCATCATATATTTGATCGGAGGACAATTTATGTTCTGATCAAATTGCCTTCATAAGGGTCCTCATGTTTTTCTTTTATCAATTTGATTTCTAGGTTCAAGATCAGAAATTCATGAGGTCAATGAGATGAAAAGCCCTCCAAAAACACTTTGAGATCCTCTCAGCTCCATTGTTAGGATGAGAATTAAAAAAGATGTATGTTGCCTCTGATATAAATTTATATGTTGATTTGGAAGGGATTTGAATAGGTTGGGTTGACCCTTGCTTGGTCATATGAAGCCCATTGCAGGCTTGATCATCTCTTACTAAACCTGCATTGGGATAAGTCAAACTAGGTTTGCGGACAAACAAGCCCATATTTCAACTTGACTCAACCCATTCACACGACCAATTATGTGAAGATTTTTCGAAATTTCTTCTGCCAAAAAATCAAATAACTCAAATATTCTGAGTACACAAGTTTACAAGTATGACGCAAGAAAGTACCAACATAATAAGTAAATTCATTGGGTATAAAATAAGAGCATCCTAGTACATATATATATATATATATTAATATTATATGATTTTTCTATTTTAAATCATTGCATGTAACTAGAATGAGCTACACATGTTTATATTGTTTGCATAGATCAAAATGGTTTGTATTCATTAATCACTATGGTACGGTATACTACTAAGCTTCACACATGAAAACACACGGGCTTGAACATTTCATGCGATTTAGATCCTACACTTCTATTACACCAGATGCTGGTGCCCATCTCACGCTATCAATGTTTTGCCACGAAAAAAAAAAACAGTGAGAAGAGAAAAAAAGAGTGAAATAATTTTATTGTATTTTTATTTTGAAATAATTATTTAAATGAAAAAATACAAGCCTCTAGAAGGGACCTCCACAAGTATTATCAAATCCATAGATATATTAATTTAAATATATACATATATATATGCATACATACCAAAAAATGAAGAAGAGTGAGAATGAACGAGTGGAGTTGACTTTGCCCACCCCCTCATTTTGAGATCATCTCTAATGCTGACCTGCAACATCCAAGAAAAACGTGGATTCAAAAAAAAAAAAAGAAAAAAAAAGAAAAGAAGAAAAAGAGTAAGCCCACAGTGAAGATGAAGAAGGTTAAGATCTACATCGCCTTCCTGTGCGCCATGCAGCAAGAATCTGATGCAGACGCAATGAAGAGCTGCTAGAGGTCCACACACAAGAAGGACAGCACGGAGGCCGCCTTCCTCTTAGTTCTTGCGCTGACCTTCCACTTCTCCACGAGGACCTTCCTGATGGCCGCACAGCCCGAAACGATGGTGGCCACGCCAGCCGAGGTGATGCCCGGGCAGTAGACGATCTGCAAGGATTGAAGCAGAGCGCATCCCTTGACGAGGTGGGTCAGGCCCACGTCACTTATCTTGGGGCAGTGCGACATTACGATGTCCCTGAGCTCCGGGCAGCCCTCACCCAGCTCTGCAAGCGCCATGTCACCCAGACTCTGCAGTGAGAGAAATGAAATTCACCCACAAGATCAAGTGGTGATTATCTCATTGTGTTTGATATCTTCACACATGTACCGTATGTAGAGGGTTGATATATCAAAGTTGGAGCGAATTATTGCATAAAAATATAAGAGGATATTGAGGCCTGACCAAGGTTCGTAAACTATGGTAGGCATAAGCTTAGATCTTTCCGATATTGCGTCTGCAAGTCAAGTGGTGGGGGGATGGGACAGTACCTGGAGGACGCTGATGTCAAGGTAAACAAGAGAAGGACATCCTCTGGCAATAGCTGCCAGCCCGATGTCGGTGATTTGGTGGCATCCGCTGACATTCAAGCGTTGGAGGGGGCAGCCTTCACCAATAGCAATTAGAGAAGAATCTCCGACCCTGACAGCGGATAAGACCCAAGAATATACGTTGTAGTGAAGTGGATCATGTAGAATTGAACACAAAGTTGGAAAATAAACAATGGAAAATGCATAGATGGAACAAGGTGAAAACTAGCTTCAGTTAGCTGAATCAAACGTGAGATCCGACCTGGAGAATGCAAGATCCTAGACTAGATCTTGGTGTTTTTTGGGAAATATGGTTGTTATCAAATCTTCACTAGGCTAAGGTTCACTAACATTATTAGTACGAATAAAGTGCCACAATAAATTAAAGAATAAACAACCATGTGACTAAAATGTGGTATTTAGCATACCTTAATCTTTAAAAAAGAAACATATATGCATGCATGAATCTATTCTCTCACTTCCCACTCATCATTGTCAGAGAAAAAACGGTAATAATATTATGAATTGGCTGGGACACCTCTACCCCAAACTATGCATGAAAATCAATGTATGTATCTCGTCAAAGACACAGAGGAATAGAGTGTGCAAGACTCATGGAAGATAATTCCATGTAAGTGAGTAAAAGAGAAAATAATCTTCACTGTAACTGCTTACAAAAATATGCCATTGGCAAACAGGCATTAGGTGAAACCATTGCAAAAACGGTGGACAATAGGCATCAAATGGTCAAAAAACTCACTCATAGTAACGTTCACCCTGAAACAATGGCAAGGATTAAGTAAAGATATTCTCACCAATCCTTGTGCGTGTCTCATTTATATACATCTAAACTTTGTACGGTCATGATAAAATTGGTGACATTTAAAACAGGACAGAAACGAAAACTAAGGTATTAGTGTCTACTCATGGAAAGTGAGGTATGTGTTGAATTTTCACCTATCACAGAACTGAACACTAAGATCTGTGAGATATCGACAATGTGTGCCAACTGAAATGATACCCCTGTTGCCAATCTGCCAATAAAAAAATGTGGAGAGAACATTAAAGATATCATTAATTAGATTTATACACAAAATCCATATGAAGAAGCTTAGATTACTGAAAATAACTCAAAATCGTAAAGCAGTTATCCACATAGTTTGGATTAATTCGTATCAGTATGGACCAGTCATTTATCAGTTTGCTTTATGCAAACAAAGAAAATTTCAGGATGAATTAGTGGAGTGGAGTACAGAGATAGTGCTTAGATTGTTGGATTTTTATTTTAATATGATGATGAAGATACAACCAAGGAAGTCCATTTCTTGCTCTCCCATCAAAAGTTTTAGTGCCTCTAATTTATTCAGTGTTAATCGAAGATCTTCCAAACTCACCTCAGTACTCTATAAGGTATTTTCTTTTGTTACTCTTTATATAGTGACGGAGTAAGTGTCTAGTTCATTGAACATGGAAGCAATATATTTTAAAGAAGCCACATTTGTTGAGAATGAGTTCCAATTTACGCCCACAGAAAGTCTTCAATAGGAGGGAGATATCTCCAGCCTCTAATGGCACCCTGATTGCCTACATTCTCTTTATCCTCTGCATTCATTTTCAGATACCACAAAAGGTCCATATAATTTTTTCTTGTCGTGAAAATGCTGACAAATCTAGTGATTTTAGTGAGAAGCAATTCCTGACATATTCCAGCACAGGGCCCCTACTACCGATCATTTGCAAGCAAATGACGAGTTTTTAAGAAATCTCAAGTTGTCTCCACCCATACAATCCTCCCCTACGGATGCATCGTGGATTGAGGCATTTCTAGACTTGTTGATTGCATAAAGGAGCGAAGCTAGAAACTTTACTAGACACCCAAATATACAAACATGAGAGCACTAGAGAACGACAATCTCTAGATGTCACTGATGCACTTAACCATGAACAATTTAGCTGTTATCCACGTTGTGGGTGAACTCGATCAGTTTGTGCATTCAACAAGAACTTCTCTTACGAAAGTTAGAGTTCAAATTACTCAGTAAACTGAGTCCTACTTATACGAATGCTTCAGATCAAATTGCTCACTATACCAATCCTCCCATGAGAAAGAGATATTTTCTTCTATCTACAGAAACATGCAGGTTGTAAGGCGTACGGATGATGAGTGACAAAATCATATGGTGGTAGAAAATCACGTACATGATACTGCACTTGCCTACATGGGAATCTTATGTCTTGAGGAAAAAGAAGCAGAATGCTGTTTCTAGATCTAGGGCAAAAACTGCGCAAAGGGCCATGGTACTATGTTTAATAGCACTCATGTGGTTCAGAATGATTGAGTGCATTGAAGTCAAGGTGAAACTTCCATTTAAACTATATGGCGATAGCAAGGCAGCTTTAAGTGTGGGAGACAATCCTCTCTATCCCACTGTTCAAAGGAAAGGATAGAGGAAGAAGAAAAATCCCTGACAGGAGTCACGGTGGTATTTTGACATGGATCTGTTATTGCTGCACCTAATAACCACCCTCTCCCCATTCCTTTTCAACTTCGCTAAAAGAGAAGAAGAGAGGAGGTCGGTTACACCTCTAGTAGAAGAGGCCTCTTGAAGATTTTCTCTTCTGTTCATCCTATTTTCTCAGGTTTGCACATCTTTTTCCTGCCTACGGCTTTCTTGCTCCCTATTTCTCTGTTTGTTGGAATTAGAAAACACATTTGAGCTACCCTTCCCCAGAATGGTTGATATAACTGAATGCAGTGTATTCTTCTTTACTTACGAAGTTAACAACAATTTTACAATACTTTACGTACAACGTCACAAAAGAGTAACCAGGAAGCATCTTACCTCATAACAACGACGAACATGCAACTTCCGCAGGTTTCTACAACCATGTGCTATACTGGCCATTGCATCATCACCTATGCTAAAACAATCGACCAAGTGAAGAGCTTGCAAAAGGGAGCAACCTCTACCAATTTCAGCAAGAGCACTATTGCCAATTCTTTGGCAATATAATAGGCCCAGCTCCAAAAGTTTCCTGGTATCAATTGTAAATATTTACACAATGAAATGTAAAAGAAAAACAGACATCTAAAAAAGAATATCTGTACAAGTCGCAAAAAAGGAACAAGCATAGAAAGGTTAAATTTTGCGGGAGACCAACATATTAGCGTGTCAGATAAGATATAGCTTGTGTGATATCTGCAATAAATTAGCTGCCAAATCAAGATCATTTGAAAGTGAGAATAAACATGAGTAATTGTTTTTAACCAAGCTCTCTCTCTCTCTCTCTCTCTCCCGACTAGTGTTGAAGCACTACTATGCTCGTGTAATCGGGCTTGGCTATCCAACCTTGTTGAACCCAATAACTGAATGCAAGCCTTATCCATATACTTGAATGGACTCAATGTAAGTGTACAGATATATATTCATATATTCTGTTAGAGCTAGTGGGAACGGACAAGAGAATGTTTTCTCTCCACTGTTCGCCTTAAGCCTGGGGTCTTCCAGGTTAACTTCTCTCCCTCACTTTTCACCCTTCTTTTCTTCTTTTCTCAGAAAATATTCAGATATTGAAGCATGAACCTTGCTTATCATGATCTGGAATTCTCGAACAGCTTCTACCTTATCCATCATGAGGATCATTCTTGGCCGTTGTGGTCAATAATTATTGCAGGCAGTCAACTCTGAACCTCAACTTTCTGCAATGGAAGTCAAATATGATGCGGATATTGCCTGCATTTCTTTCAGTGGCAAATGGAAGCAGAACGCAATGCATAAGCTGTCATGGTTCATCCCATTGCAAGCGGGACATTGCTCTGAAGTCGTGCCCTTTGCTGTCCTGCCCCAAAGGAAAAAAGAATAACATACATACGTCCAATGAAGGGGGGCTCCCACAAGGAGTTGGAGAATGGTAGTGGTGAAGGCTGCAGGTGACTTAATCCAAAAATCCAAGATACTAACACAGCTTAGTCTGAGATCCCCTTGGTTGTGCAGAGGAAATGCTCATGACCACCAGTGACTCACTTTCTGTTAGTTGACTAAAAAAATCCATAAATTTTCATGTAACATTCTTAGCGAATCATTATGTTTTCCACAATGTGAGGACGAGACAAATGGTTGGAAGTGGTCATAAAGTAGGATGGTTTCATTACCTCTCAACTAGAGCTTGCTCAATGTTGTAGTCTCAAAGAATCATATAAAATGCGAATAAAGAGATTAGGGAGATTTATCCTTGGCATCTTTGCCTTAGACATTTTCTGCTTCATTCATTAGACTTGCTGGTTCCATCCTTGTTTAATAAACTTAGCCTTGAGTCTGGAAAGTGTCAAGTTTACCATCTCTCAAAATACTGTCGAACATATTGTCCATATTTACTACAAAGAATGCCAGTCCTTTTGATCTTATTCACTCTGACATGCCTGGTCCTCAACTATTTAAATGGATGGACATAAATATTCTATCAATTGATGACTATACACATTGTATGTGGATATATTTGATGAGGGCGTTAGAAGTTCCCAATGTGATACAAGTATTCAACCACATATCAAAAATCAAGCACCAGAACTATAAAGAAACTGTTAAAAAAATGATAAAGAGTACCTAGGGAAACCTAACAACATATCTTCTCTGAGAATGGGGGTGGCAGAGCAAGATAAAAAGCATCTACCTTAGACAGCAGGGCCAATATTCAACATATTCTCCCTAAGAAGTTATGGGCTGAAGCAATTTTGACAATGGCACATATAATCAATCGAATGCCATCCAGAGTTTTGGGACACAAGTCTCCTCTTGTCCTCTCATAGAAAGGCCCTCTTTTCCAGCTTACCCCTAAATTGTTTGGATGTTTATGCTTCACTTAATTTGTCCAACTAGGCCGATCCTCAAGCTATTATTAGTACCTACCTCGGCTACACTCTTAAATGATACTTCCACAAAGAACTTGTCAGATGATTGTTCTCTGACTATCCATTCTCTGCATTTGGAATTCTCACCGATTATTACATTCTCTCTATCCATTCTCTGCCTAAGAAAGAACAAATAATTACACCAATAATTAATTGAAAACCACATGAAGCTAGAGATAATTTCCAACTTATTCCAGAAATTGTACAATTTTCCTCTCTCCACATAACCTCATAAATTAGCATCCATTGTAATCCATAGAGTACTAATCTGAAGACTAAACTTCAATCCTAAGTTTCTGAACACCAGTGGCATGTGTACGAATGGCAAATGAACATGGTCTCACCACTCCCTTAGTGAAGACGAAGTATGCTGGCGTTACATTAATGAAGCTCATGTATAAATCCTTGGTTTACTCGGACATCAATGCATTTCGTGTTCCTCATCATTCAGACGCAAGATAAGCAAAAAACTTCTATGCTGTATCGGGCTTGGCAAAACATGATGGTGTCCCATGTTCTGCAGCTGAGTTCAGTGCTTGGATTGATCAATGCTTTCTTCGGAGACAACATTGCCTTACAGACATAGAAGACATTCGGGAATTATCTGCAAATCAATTCCTATCGGATATCTCATATCATAATACCTCCATTTACTGTCCAGAACCATATTACTCTTCGTCCATAACCATTCAAAGATATTTCTTGAGGAATCCCCCGTTCATTCCTTTCATCCATAATCCCCTCTTTCTAGGAATTGACTTGTCATCATCAGGTCAAAAGTTTTTGTTTATTTTGATGGTCATCCATTCAGGAGCTTGTGTCAAGAAGATAATGGATTTGAGTGATACTTCTCGTAAGCCATCACCCAGACATTTTAGAGACCACCTCACAGATATAAATTTTTTTACATCGTTAACATAGAATTTGTAGAAAAATATACAAGGAATGAAATTGAGATAAAAAAACACAATAGCTCACATAAGGAAATACTTCAAAAACTACATGCTGGATTCCTAAACATTAAAACGAGCCATTGCAAAAAGCCAGGATTCCAATTCGAATAAAAAAAATAAATTCCGTAATAGTTATGATCCCAGGGAATAAGCCTCTGAAAATAGAGAAAGCAGAGCATACGGGCAAGATCGTCCAATAGATTCCACTCCAAACGTACTAATATTAGTACACCCATTAACCTCCAAATGTGTCAGTTCGCTGCAGCCAGATGCAATTGCCAAAAGACTCTTATCACTTAAGAAGTAGCAGTCACTAAGTGTAAGATTCTTCAGTCTCTTACATCCATGACCAATAGCAGAAAGTCCCCTACAACATTCAAATAAAAATTAATAAACATAACTGTTTATAGAGTTAAAAATTTTAACAGCACAAAACTAAGTGACCAATTCTAGAATATGAGACTTTTAGAAAAGAAATGCAATACCACAAAGTCTTTTGCAAAATACTGCCAATCATAAAAGTAATCTTTTACAAAATAAACCACTAGGGGCAAGAACATAGTTATAATGTCATATTTACTGGAGCAAGAATTCTTGAACGCCTTGATGGAAGAGAAAATGCTAATAGGAGGGCCAATGATTTCTTAAATACCTTGATGGGACAAACACCACTAAAAGCGATACAGAAAGAGGGCCATGCTTCCCAATGTTTAGCAGTAGAAAATAGAAAATAACAATACCAATGCTGCCCGAATAATTTTTTTTTGCTAAATAGAAAGAATGAGGATGAAACGAATGGTACACACCTGTCAGTAAATTTCTGAAAACTGTTCAGAGCTAAAAATTCCAGTGAGGCACAATTTGAACCGATAGCTAACAAAGCATCATCTGTTGCACTTATGCACTGCAACCTCAAAACCTTCAGTGCTGGGCACTGAGAAGCAACTGAAAGTATTCCTTTGTTTTTAATTATTTCCGAGTCCAATGATAACACTTCAAGAGATGGACAATGAGATCCCACTGCCTCAAGGGACATATCAGTTATCCATGTACAGGCTGCAACACCAAGAGTTTTTATTGATTTACCACATCCTCGAACCAGACCTATCAAACCACTGTCAGTCAATCCCTCACAAAAGCGTAAGTTCAGGTCCTCAAGTTTCTTACAATAGTCTCCAATAGCAATAAGACCGTTATCTCCAATATAGCAACCCTGCAAACAAAGGAAACACCAGCCGCTACAGCTTTATGCAGTTAAAAGACAATAGCATAATAACAGTAAAATTTACAGAAAAAAGGCAGTAATAAAAGAAGTAAAATATTTAACTAGTTTGATTAAATCCCAGTTGCCATTTGAAACTGACAAATCGAACCAATAAACTGTCAACTTTTGGAAGATCAACATGCTCAACTTTTGGAAGCAATTGGCTCAATAACTTTCAAAAAGTTTTACCGTTTGCTTCAATGATACCATGAAAACGACTTGAAATTACTCAACAACCTAAAGCACAATCTACAGAGATAGAGGGCCTTCTATACTGTTTGCTTCAACGATCCCAAGTTATTATAATATTCTAGCAACATTGCCTACTAATCTAGAGCAAGTGTTCAAGGTGTGAGGAAATGCATCAAACATGAAGTAAACAGAGAGAAAAATCTTGCAATGAGATATGATATATTCTTTTTTGAATCATATAATTCACTAATAATAGAAAAATTATTTAGCATGAACATTATACGATGATTCATTAGATTTCCAAAAATCATTCTCATGGTATTGTACGGTCACCCAGTCTTCTGATTTTGGTGCAGAAAAAATAAAAAAATATAATGTAATGATAAATATAGAAAAATAAGTTTTATACAATGAAATTAATATAAATCGTCTATCAGTGTATATCAAAGATAATTTCTCCTCCCCAAGTTGCATACATGATCTGATCTTACTATTACACTAATGGGCAGTAACCAAAAGTTTAATGAATTTCCTGCAGGCCAGAAAAAATGAGAAAAATTAAAATATAGAAGCAGCTCAATGGCAGAAAATATGTTTGAATGGCTAAATAATAAGATAATATCTTACATCATTGCAAAATGGCATTCACATAGTTGGTATGATTAACACTATACCTAGTTAACTCATAATGTGAAAATTTTCAAGCAATCAGCTATGAAACAAAGAATGCACCTGCACATCCAGGGACTTTAAAGCCATGCATTTCTGAGCAACAGATTTCAAACCCATACTTGTGATGTTAGAGCACCATATTAAGCTCAGCTTTTCAAGTTGTGTGCACCACTCAGCAAGCACAACAAGGCCGGCATCAGAAAGACTGGAACTCTCAGATTCAAGTTCTTCAGTCTCACTGCTTATGCCACAATTGGCATTGCTGAATGTGTTTGAAAGTGACTTCCACTGCAAGGTAAACTTTGGCATTATTTTCAAAAGTTACTACAACATCAAGGAAAAACTGTAAGACTAACTGACAATAACATTGCCTTCATGATGAACATAAATTAGTTTGGCAATCTCAACCTTTTGCGAGGTGGCACAAAATGCAGCCTACAACATGAAATTTGGAAGTTATAACACAACGCTAATTCGGCATAGGTAAGTGCAATCTCTTTCTTAGGTCTAATTAATAATAATTCAGAAAAACAAAGAAAATACCACCAGTAGATACCTGTAGCAAACTTTTGCAAGATCTTAACTAAATTTAATAGTTTTTTAAAATCTGAATTTAATAGTTCAATAACTCCCATGGTTCACGGGTGCAAGTAATAATATTTATCCACTTAGTTTTTTAAAGCAAATAAGAGCATAATTAGCTACCCAATCCTACATCTCAAGAGGATGGTCTAATATCAAAAAATTCCTGAATGGTGAGGACTTTACATCAAACTGTATATTTTTTTTCTTGTTACGTAGTATTCTCCTTAGGACACTGAAAGATCTAGGACGGAATAATAGAGTTAAAAAGTGTGAGAGGGGAAAAAAAGAATTCAAAGCACACTAACTGATACTAATAATTTAGTAGAAGACAGAACCCAGCATATGAAGAAAGCAACTGTACAGTGCTGGGAAACGTTTTGTGAGGACCCGAATCTCCTAACCAAGGTAAGAATTTTCTGAGAGAAGGTCACGATTAGCATTCCTCCTACAGTGAAAAGTCAGACCACAGAGAACAGTCGTATTTTTTTGCAGAGCCTGTCATGAAGCCACCAATCATCTTTTGTGACATTTAGAATCATACAGCTTCTGTGGGAAATTATAATCATTTTTAATCATTATGGAGCGACAAAGCAACGAAGTAAGCATTTTTGTACAAAGATAGGGCAGACTCTCAGACGTGTGAACTCCTTTTGTCTGCCTTCTTTTAGGGAAGCTTTCAATTATTTCTTAGAATACAATACAAGCCCCAGTCAGCGCATGCAAGATACTGTCACCAGAGTGACCAGAAACAAAAGAATAATTTACTGTTGCGTTCAATTTATTTAGAATTCAATTACTCAGAAACTCAGCTGTTTTGGCTGGCATTGTTAGCCTCACCTTAGTTTCCTGATGGCTAATACATGGTATTTCTGTGATTTATTTGATTCGTATTCATAGGAAAGTGGTGGGACCTGTCCACTTTTATGATCTAGTTCCATTAAAAAAACAAACAAACGTTATCAGATAAAATCCTTATTCAGACATATGATGGCCTCAGAATAAAAAAGGAAGAACAAGAATATACACATGCAAACGTTCACCTCTAATGAGAAAAGTGCCCATATACTAAAGGAAAAACCATAAACTAGGATGGCCCGTGGCACTCTAAATATCCAAGCTCTCAAAAGGAAATACTCATCCTCTCCCTCATTAAGGTTTACCTTTGCCCTCATTTACTCGATGAGTGTCTCTCAGGAGCAAAAATGTGAATGTTTCATTCTTTCAGATAGTGCAAATGTTCACATGTAGTATGAGATACCACTAGCCATGATCTCCTCTCCAGCCAACTTCTCCATGTCTCTTTCATTTTTACAGATTCTACACAAACGGTGTGATCCAAATATTCGTTTGCATTGCTACATAAAGTGCATGAAGTTCTTATGTTCTCTGAACGGTGGAGTATCAATTACATATAAATTCCCTCGTGAAAGTCTCAATGACAAAAATCTCAATTTAAAAGGATGTAAGAGTTCCCCAAACATTTAACCGCAGAGTGAATTCTAAACTGGAATATTTTTGAGAAGCATTTATCCCGTCCACAGCAAATTAAATAGATATAGATTTGGTAACGTTCCCTCTTTTCTTTCCTTTGCAAGTGGGATGTGTGTGTGTGTGTGTGTGTGCGTGTGTGTGTTAGGAGGGAGGGGGGGGCGGTAGATGGAATGCATGAACCTCCCTTAACTCAAGCGTTTACAGCAAGGATATTTAAAGACATCTTCCACCTTATGAATGTTGAAGTAGGTGAAGCATGCTTCATCTTCTTCACATAAAAACGAACCAGTTTTGAAGAGTAAATCATTCTTGAAAGTTGGAGAGATGTTCCCGCCACGAAAATGCCAAAAAAACTTACATTAAGAATCCTTAGGCATCGGGTCATAATAAAAATGAGGTCATGCCTTCCCAATGAAAGTGCAGTCGAAAGAGATGCAGAATTGCCTTTCGTGCTCAGTTTTATGCGGTGAATCATTAGTCTATCGAAACTCAAATCCAATTAAACGGTCAATTTCATCTCCAACAACTTGCTGGACAAGCCAATACCAGTTGATTAAACCTCATATAAATTTAGCCATTCCGCATATCCAATTTTCCGTAGTTCTCCAAATGAGCAAGGTCGTCTCATTTTGGAGTTAAGAATATTGAGCAAAAAACTTGTTTACGACGCAACAAAAGAACATTGGTTTTCTTAAACCGTACGTAAGGTGCCAAATCCAGTGCTCTTTTCAGCCGTCACAATGAAGGTGATAGATCATCGGTGTGCACTATCCCCTATCAATCAATCGGCTAACCTATCAGCCAGATGTTCATGCAAAATACCCGGTAAATGGTTCCCTCGTTATACTGTCGCCAACCTTAGAAATGATAGCTTAGCCCATAATCATTATCATCTGTGGCTTCATTTAGACAACTTTCAAAACGCTGTTTGGTTCGATTTCGATGGCGTAAGCAGTTTCGGAGACTTGACGCCCATTTTTTTTTTTGTTTCAATGCAATGGCATAGAGATTCAGGTAAACCCTTTAAAGAGTTGCAGGATCAGAACTAAGGTAAAAGGATTTGCAAGACTCACCGCTGAAAGGCGCGTCCTGCGGTTGGTAAACGCCAATGGGGGGGAGCGGGGAGGAGAGGCTGAGACCGGGAGACGCTCGTTGAAGAAGACGTCGCGGAGACCGGAGAACCGGCGGACGAGGCAGCGGACGACACGGTCGGCAGTGCCGGAGGCCCCGATCCGGACGGCGCGGCGGGAAGCCCGCTCGAGGCGGAGCCAGCGACGGCACACCAGAGAACAAGCATCCCGGCCGGACTTGCTCTCCACGCGGGCGAATATATCCATGAGGACCTCGTCCGGGAGTGCCGCATTGATCAGATCTCCCCGGCCGCGTCTCATACCTCCCGGCGACATGGATACCGATCGCAAAGAGAGCGATTTCGAGAGATGAACAATGATGGGGAGATAGAGGCGTGCGTAGAGAGAAGAGAGAAAGAAGGAAGAGAGGGAAGAGAGAGAAGATAGATGGAGAAGAAAGAGAGAAAGAAGAGAGAGAGAGAGAAGAGAGGGAGAAGATAGGGAAGAGAGAGAAGATAGATGGAGAAGGAAGAGAGAAAGAAGAGAGCGAGAGAGAGAGAGAAAGAAAGAAAAGAGGGAAGAGAGAGAAGATAGATGGAGAAGGAAGAGAGAAAGAAGAGAGAGAGAGAGAGAGAGAGAGAGGAGAGAGAGGAGATGAAATACCTTCCGCTTTGTCCAGGCAACGAGGGGGGAGGAGGCCCGACGGAGGATTACCGGAGAGGGGAGGCGAAGACACAGAGAGAGAAAGTTCCCCGGCATTAACATCTTAAAGTGCGCACATTTCACTTTAGACCCCCACAAAATTTCTAAATACAATTGTGACCCCCTCAACTTATCGCCTCACGACAGGGTATCAGTGTTTCACGGGAATACACAAGCAATTTTATAAAGTACGTACCTTTAACAACATAAAAACGTTTAAATTGGGGCTAATCATACTTTTCCAAAGGGCACTACGTATGGGTATCATGCACCCCGCCTCCCCACCCCCTCCGAATACTCATGGGTGTTTGTCGGGATTCACAGAAGCAGCTGCTTACCCCAGAGAAAGTCGTCATGGGTACTTGGAAAATAAATCGTTGACCGATCTAAGAGACCCGTAGCTAGAAGAGCGTTGAACTGAGCTGAAGCCTGTAATACTCTAGCCTACAGACAGTAGACAGATAGATGGAGAGAGCGAGAGAGAGAGAGCTCAACAAGCGACCTAAGATGATGACTAAGCTCCACATTCCAACTTAAATTTTCCACCAAGCCATCTGAATTCAAGTATCGGGATCTACAGACACTAGAGAGATAGAGGGAGAGAGAGAGAGAGAGAGAGAGAGAGAGAGAGAGAGAGAGAGATGGGCAAATGTGAAGGTATCAGGAGAGCCTTGGATTGCGCAAGGAAAGTCTCGTAGGATACTTCTTTACAGAATAACATCGAGAGAGAGAGAGAGAGAGAGAGAGAGAGAGAGAGAGAGAGAGAGAGAAACTTTTATGGGCTCAACCTGGTGCAATCGAATGCACAACCTGAGAAGAGAAGAGAAGAGAAGAGAAGAGCAGAGAGAAAATGTGGAGGGGGGGGCGGGGAGGCTTATCTACTTCTTGGAGATGTAGGCGTAGTATTGGGCCATGGGGACGACGAAGGAGACGACGAGCAGGCCTCCGACAACGAGTGAGAACTGGCTGCGCTTCTCCTCCGTCTCCTCCTTGGTCTTAAAGTTGGACTCCCTCTTGTTGTCCTTGAACTTGGGTCCCCCGGGGTCCGGCAGCCCGTCGATGGCCGCCACCAGCCGCTTCGCGCTGCTCAACACCGCCTCGTTGTACTTCTCGTCCGTCGCCAGCACTGCCACCACCACAGCCTCCTCTTCCACGTCACCATTTATCCATACAATATACCTCACTTTGGGCATTTTCGTACCCAAAATAGTAAGTTTCCTAAAGATTTCAACCCCACAGCAGACAATTTGAGACTTGCTGGGTGGGTTTCAATTTAAAACTTTGCTCCACGTCACCATTTATCCATACAATATATACACAGGATATAAGTCTGAGAAATATAATGACAATATATAAGCAGGATATAAGTCTGAAGTAATGTAGATGATCATGGTAGAGCAATCAGGCTGAGTGCCTTACCAGGGAGGTTCTCTGAGACAGTGGCATCCAGAACACCCTCGCCAATCGACTGGATGAATGTGGGGCCGCCTGTTATAGCTCCTTCCTTCTGGCTGGTGACAAGCACCACGATTCCCTTGTTCTTTCCTACTTCCAGGGTGGGGTACCACTTCTCCAGGACTTGGTCGGCGTACTCGAAAGCATCAGCTTTGCTCTGCGAGAAAGGACATTTAATTATCTCATACTTTCGGATTGTAAGCTCGATACCAGCCGACAGAAGGGGAAATCATAGATCATAAAAGGGGAAATACAACCTTTTCCTTCATGGTTTCATGGTATTGGATGGATATCGAGAATCATAACTGAGGATGCACAAAATCATGTATCAGATAGAATAGTACTTTTAGCCTTTTCCAACATCTGTCCTCAACATTATCTTCCAAGATTATTAGAGCCACAAACATAGATATTAGTTTATTGGATGAGATTATATCATCCCGCAATTTTTTTTTCCTTTTTCCCCTCTTAGAAAGAATTATTTGAAAAATTCAAGTCAAGAGAGATTTTTTTTTACTAACAAAATAGAAGATAAAATAACCTGCTTTGAAAGGTTTCATTTCTGCTGTATAAATAATTACATCGGAATATACTGAAATTGTAAAACGGAAAGGAGTGGAGCACATCATCTTGGGCCAAAATTGCGTGCAAAAATGAACAACAATGAAGCTTGCCTACGTGGGGTCTAATCAAATTCTATGGACAAACATACAAGAGAAGTGAACAGATGAAGGAAATGAATAATTTTTCTTTCTCCCAAACGAGCAGTGGACGGTGTTGTAGTGATTATCTAAGCTCAGAAACCGATACCATTGATCATCATATATAAATCGGTCACCATTATCACAATTATCCACGTGTTTGAAAATGTTATCAGCAGGGGATGGTGACAAAGCTCCAACGAGCAAAGGGATCAGAACAGAAATTGTAATCATTCTACAAAACGAAAATATTTTATGGTCATTCAAAAGAAGGAAAAAGGAGGAATGACCGCGCAAAGTACCAGCATGGTGTTTCCAGAATGACAATGCTATTTTACGCTACTGAAAACATTCGTACTGACTGAGAATATTTAACAACAGAAAGCAAAGCTAAATTGATTGTGATCATACAGATGAGAACCTGACATCACTTCTTTTCTTCTGAAGAGTTACGGCTTGGAAGCAAGCATGTGTAATGGTGAATTGCTGAACTAAGTTATAAGCAGCTACTGAGGTCGTTGATAAGTGAGTTGAGGAAATATGTTCTAAGATGATCTTTTGACTAATACTGGAAAAAGTTGAGCTGGATTGTTGAGACTGATGGATGTTGAGAAAAGAGGAAACAGCTGCAGGTCAGACATGGTTGAGGTCGTAACACGATAGTGGCTTTCAAGATTAATAAAAAAACAGAGGTTTAAAATCAAAAACACCACTTTCAAGGTATGATATATATTAAGGTTATTTGTAAAAGTTTCTTATTAAGTACAATTTCTATGTTCTAAGTACGAGTTTATTTAGATCCCTTCTTCCTGTAGAAGTCGTTCTTTTCGAATTTTTCTGATGTAGGATTTTGCATTTTTCAGGGAGATCAAGCTCTGAAGATCGGACCAGTAGAAATGGTCACGCAACCACATTTTGTATAAAAGTTTTAGAGAACACATGAGCCTTTAAATTGGTCAGAAGGCGATATATTGTTAACTACATCAAAAGGGCAGGGATACCAAGGTCAAGATTCTACTTGAAAGATGATCCACCAGGCAGTGGTCACTATATCCAACACTAAAATTTCATTAATGACGTAACATTAACAAATTACTCACGGCATCATGTAAAAAAGAAAACATAGAGAGACAGGGTTTCGTCGCCAGCAGCAGCAGTCGAGGAACTAACCGTGAGCTTGCGGACAGTGACGAAATTGATGCGCAGGTTCTTCCTCGACTCCAGATCGGAGAGCAGGCTCTTGAGATCGGACTTGGTGACGCGGCTGAGAACTCCCGCATCGTCGACTACGTACGATTCCACCGGGGGCCCGTCCCTGAGCACGTCGAACTCAGAAGCCAGGGCCGAGTCCAGGGCCGGGACAGGGCAGAAGTTGAAGGCCAGAGAGAGAGCCAAGGCGGCCAGCCCATGCTGGACGTGCGAGATCCAGCCGCCGCGGGAGACGAACGGCACTGATGCGGCGTGTCTCTTCGGGTCGGAGGCAGCGGCGCATCTGGTCAGCGGCTTAGCCAGCGCCTTGGGATGGAGATGGCTGAGGTGCGGCTTCCGGTGGAGCAGGGATTTGGGGTGGAAGATGGGAGAGAAGGAGGAGGAGACGATGGTCTCCATGGCGGGGAGGCGCTGAGAGCCCTCTCGAGGCGGAGGAGACTCTTGAAGCAACTGGAAGAGCCACTGGCTTTGCTTCCCTTCCCCACTACTGTCTATCTTTCCGCCAGAGAACCCCCATTTTCTTCATAAACTCTATTATATCCCATTTTATCTTATAATTGGAATTAAACTCTTAGAAAGTGCGTCTGCGTGCAATTATTTGTACTTTATAAGTCTATCATCATTTACCGCTGATTTGGGTACATTCTAATAAATTAATAAGGGAAGTCGGTTGATGGGTTTTAGGGAGAATAATTACGCAATTAAATGGTTTCAAGGTATTTTTGCGATTATTCTGGTAAATATGGGGCTTTCACAAATTCCGAGGACTCCTCCTCCTCGATATCTGTTGGCTGGGCTCCGGATTTCCTTTGGGTGGCTGGGTTGGAATCCGGATAAAGTGGGGCCTACCTTCGTTACCACATGAAAAGGAATGTAAATGTAAATTTGAAGAGTACAATGGTTTAAAAGATATATAAATATTTTATGGGGAGTAAAAGTGGAAACACCCTGTCTGCATTAGTAGCTACGGCATTCGAATCGGTTCCGAAATCGATTCCCCAGAAATCTTCTTTCCGAAACTCTATTCCAAACCGCACGGTAGTGATCTAGTCCCACCCTGCCCGAGGGGACGTCAGCAATCTTGATTTTGGGGATTTTTGGGGCGGAATCAGGATACCTGAGGAATCGTACTTTTCGCCCCCGTTACCGGCTAAGTAACGTGTGATGAAGACTAGAAAGCGCTTCCACCTGCAAACCCTGCCAAACACCTCCCTCTTCTCTTTCTCCTTCCCGTTCCTCGATTCGTTTCTTTGGACTCTGTCACAAACATTCGACGCCTCTCTCTCTCTCTCTCGTCTATTTCTTGCCCGCTCTCTCATCCTTTCCTTTTTTCTTTTCCTTCCCGTGTTCCTGCCCTGTCCTTAGTCGAATCTGGAGAGGCGTTCTATCCTTCTCATCCGATGCTTGTTTTAGCCTTCTTCTTCCACTTATCTCCGGATCGTCCGTTAGTAATCACGGTTCCTGCGTCCTAGCTCTCTCTTTCTATCTCTATCTCGCCTGCGCTTTCCAGCTGTATTTTTATTTTTGGAGCTCTGCTAAGGATGCTTCCATGGGGCGGGGTGGGCTGCTGCTTGAGTGCAGCTGCTCTTTACCTCTTGGGTAGGAGCAGTGGCAGGTGGGTTTGGTGTGGCCTACGTGTCTTCGTTAGCTAATTCTTCAAAGTTGTAGAAAGATTGCTGAATGATTGCAACTGCGGTTCCGTTTCCAGGGATGCTGAAGCTCTCCGCTCTGTCGTGAAGGTTAATCAGCTGAAGGATTTGGGTGAGTAGGTTCTTTCTTTTCATTCGTTGCTGTTTTTTCATAATGGTAGTTTTCAATTTGAGGAAGCGCTGATTGCAGTTCGCTGATGACCGATAGAAGGGGAAAGAGAGGAGAGAACAGACGAATATATGTACTTTGCTTAACCGTTGCTGTTGTAATTCCAACCTTATTTAGTTTTTTTTCGGCTTTAGCTAGGTTCTGAGACAATGGGGAGGTGTTTCAACCCATAGCCTTGTAGTGATCATGTGCAGCCGTTTCTAAATTCATTGTTGATTCTTTCTGCATCATACGTTGTAGAATGGATTGACCAACCTATTTCGTGACTTTTGATCAATGGGAGACGTGGGTTATTTCAACCCACAGCCTTAGAGTGATAGTTTGCAGCCGTTTCTAAATCTGCTGTTGATTATTTCTGCAGCATATGTTGTAGAATGGATTCGTGACACTATTTTGTGAATTTTAATCAGTGGAAGACGTGGGTTCAATTTGTCAGTTACACCTAGGAGGAGATTCCTCGTTCAACTCTTTGCAAAGCTTCCAAACAGCCAAAGACCGAAAAAATGCAGAAATAGGAGTGATTTGAACAAAAAATTATCCTTTTTGATATTCTCATATGCTCTGGCTATGCTAATCTGTATGCTTTCTGTCATCATTATACACGCGCTATTGTCAGTCTTTGGGTGTACTAAAGTTTCCTTTTTTTTTTCAACTATCAAAGGTCAATCCTCCAAAATCCGAAGGGTATAATCCATCCATGGTGCTATTTTGTGGGTGAAATTAATTTCTGGCATTATTTCTGATGTCTGATGGTGTATTCAGTCTATTCTGCACATGCTGTTTTTAGTGTTTTTTTCGATGTTTACATTTTTCTTGGTGTCTTGCGATCAGGTTGAAGAGAAAAAAAACATGCCAATCAAGAGAATATACCTGAAAAGAAATTAGGAGTTATATCGCATTAGTTTATGACTGTTGCTGTGTATTAATTATGCATTGCGTGTAGGTACCTCAGACCTTAGCATGCTAATTCTCCTAACACGAGCGTTTGGTGATGCTGTGACATGAATTTGTTTATTTGCGTGAAAGCCAACTTTAACCTGGAGAGGAATTATTATGCCCTTTTGAAGCAGTTTTATGGGAACTATTTTATCTGTGGTTTAGGTTAAATTTATGACTGGGGAGTGGATATGAAAGCTTGAAGTTGGAATGAAGTAACAGAAAATGAAAAAAAAGGGAGAAATAAACTCCCATGAAATGCAACGCATAACTTTCGATGAGCCTTTCCATGGGAGAATATATTTTATATTTCATTGCTTTTTGTGAATTACATGGGTTATTGTGCATTTGTTATCTATAAGAACCTCACTTCTCCACAAACCAAACATAGTTCTGATATCATTTTTTCCGAATATTGTAGGCATGTTTGTCCAGATAACTTATGTAGGGATTTTTAGATTGGTCCTTTTATTTAGCATTCAAGTTGTAGGCTTTGGTACAAATGATTTATCTTGAGAACTGATGTCTGGATTCATCAGTTAAATTGGGTTGAATCCAGACATCAGTTATCTGGACAAACATGCCTACATTGAATCTAGACATCAGTTAAATTGGGTTGAATCCAATTTTTTCAAAGCATTTGAGATTACCCCTTTTCATTCAAGAATTACCTCTTTTGTAAGAGTGGAGAATACTAATTTACCCGTGAATTCATGCATTGATCGCCATGCATTGATTCTGAGGGTACTTTTATGCTGCTCAAGTTGTTAGGTGTACATGGATCTGACCTAGCATTGGGTCACATCTTTAGATTCAATAGGTCAACCTGATTACCTGGAACACTATCCACATAGGGCACTTGCTCTGATACTTTTTCTTCCTTAGGCTGTTTTCTACTTAAAATAGTGCTATAACTCCTCATCTTGTTTGGGGTTTTTTGCGTTCTTTTTGTATCATTGAAAATGCAAATAAAAATTATTCTGAGTTCTTCCTGTTGTCACCTTCAGCACAGCTGCTTGATACTGCATGCAAAGTGTTACCGCTTGTTGTCACCATTTCTGGACGTGTTGGTTCAGAGACGGCCATCAAATGTGAACGTAGTGGACTAAGAGGTGTAATAGTTGAGGAGACGGTATGTGGCTTCTCTTTACAGGATTGGCTAACTCGGAAATTTGATTTTATCAAATCAGTTTCATTTTCTTGATGTATGTCCTTACAATTCAGGCAGAACAACATTTTTTAAAGCATAATGACGCTGGATCATGGATACAAGACTCTGCATTAATGTTATCCATGAGTAAAGAAGTCCCTTGGTATTTGGTGAGTAATAACTTACTCTGTTCTGGTTTTTGTTGGGTAAGCTTAGGATTTTGCTCTTTACCAATTTTGACTCGTGTGGGACGAAAATAAACATAGATACAAATTATAAGTTTTTGAGTTACTATGAGCTCTTGCATATCTAAAAAGATGAGTTACAAATTCTTGTCGTTAGTGAACAAAACTAGGGTTGAAATGGAACAACCCATGTGAGTATCAGTTCTTTAGAAGGCAGAATTGAAGATGGAAGCAAAAGGGATTTGTGGGCGATTTTATCACTGCGGTTGGTTTTGTGTTATAGTCCCAACTCTAAGCCTTTTTAACAAAGGATTCACGATTTGTAGGCAGCGGTCCACTCTTTCTGTTGTTAATATTGAGGGAATGGACGATTAGATTGGCCAAGTTGTGAAGTTTGTTGGAATGAGTTTCTATCTTTACTACTAAAGATTTCTAACTTGATTGTCCTCTCTGATATGCTTCATGCAGAGACTGTGTACTTGTAGGGTGAGCTTTGTAAAGATGTTTTGTTAACTGTACTTCTCACATACTTTTGTATCGGATTATCAGGATGATGGTACAGGTCGAGTTTATGTTGTTGGCGCTCGGGCTGCCACAGGTTTGGTGTTGACAATAGCAAGCGAAATTTTTGAAGAATCAGGAAGGTCCTTAGTGCGTGGGACTTTGGACTATCTCCAAGGGCTCAAGGTTTGGCCTTCAATTTGGAAATCAATTTTTTGCCGCAAATCGTACACTTTTCTTTTGCTGATAAAGTTTTCTGGCAGATGCTTGGCGTCAAAAGAGTTGAAAGGGTTCTCCCCACGGGCACTTCTTTGACTGTTGTTGGTGAGGTAATACAGTGGATCTATTCGAATCCTGCATACCTTATCTTCTTTGCATCTATGAAGGGTTTGCGGTCTTCACTAGTTTTTATTTCAGTAAGTCAATATTGAGATGTTGATCATTTGAACTGATATTTCATGTGTCCCTGGGACAAATATTGTTGTGAGTTGGTTTCACATTGAAAGTTAGTGGCCAATATTCTTGATCTGCTGTTTTGTGTCAATATTTTTATCTAATGAAATGTTAACTTCCAATGGCTAGTTTTTGAGATTGTTTTCTAATTTCTATAGGCCGTCAAAGATGATATTGGAACTATCCGGATTCAGCAACCTCATAAGGGGCCTTTTTATGTATCTCCAAAGAATATTGATCAGCTTATTGCAAATCTTGGGAAATGGGCAAGGTAGTTAATATATTATTGATCAATCTTTTCTTCTTGGTGATTTGATTACAATGATATTTGGTGCTCCAGGTGGTATCAATACGCTTCCCTAGGGTTCACGGTCTTTGGCGTTTATCTTCTGGCAAAGCATGCAGTTCAATACATTCTTGAAAGAAGACGTCGCTGGGATTTGCATAAGAGGTAAGTCATATGCCATGTCACCTATGACTGGTAAATGAAGTAAAATGAATGAGTGCGACTTATGTAAAAATGTGTGGGGCTGAATCGGGAGCATACTTTCTGTGTGCCCTTTAGTGATTTTTCCTCATTCTAGTTTTTCACTTGTAAAGTTTTCGGATATAATTTGTGAAAGAACTTTTCCAATTTGTTGAGAATATTCGGATATAATTTTTTCTTGATGCTTACTTGTGGTATTTGTTGAAAGTTGGTATGTCCTGTCAGTTGCTTTATGTATACTTTATTTAAACGAACACCAAACAAAAACTTAGTCTCTTCTGTTGTTAGTTTCTTCCGGAACCCATGATTTATCATGCATTTAAAGTACCAAACTGCCATTCAAATTTGTGTGATTATGATCTTGTGCTCCCTTAAAGCATTATATATTCACAAAATATTTGGCCAAAAGGACCGAAAATGGGAATAAATCACTTTCAAAAACTCTTCTTTACTGGCTTCAAGTATTTTCTATTATTTTCTGCCTATTTCTTTGTTCCCTCTTTCTTTTTTGTGTCAACTGTCCCCCCTTTTCACTTGGTTTAGAATAAAAACACAAACTTTGTTGCATTACTTTTTCAGCCTATGTACGGAAAGTGTGTCCTTGTGATCATAGAAATCCAGCGCCATTCACATCTCTTTAAGGATATCGTGCTGTTTTGTTAGGAAATTCTAAAACAACCGTGTCTGTTTTAATCATTTAGTATGATTTGTTTTTCCCATGATCCATTTGGAATACTCTCTCAGTAGGAAAGTTGGTGTTGTTTGCAATTCGAAGTTCATGACAATTTTGGTTTTAATTTTTTATTCAGTGAAGATATTTTCTGCTATTTTGGTTCTTCGATGAAGCCATTCTTAGTATGTTGATTTGATTTTTGCATTATGAGAGGAGGCTAGAAAATATTTCAGCTTCGTGGTGAGTAGGAGCTATGTTGAGACCTTGTCTACAGTCATTTAGTCTGTGCTAAAAGCTCCAAAATGCTTCTCATGCTTAGAATTTCTACTTTTTCTACCTTGATATTATTTCCTATGCATGGTGCCCTTTTCCTGTTCTAATTCGTCGTTCAGAGGTCGATAGCATTGATAAAACGCGTGCTGCTTTTTCTTCGTTTGTTAATATCGCAAATGTGTTCTGATTACTCTCAGTGAACGCTCAGAGATACTCGTGGGTTGTGTGCATTTGGCTGTAACTTCACTGATTCTAGGGCATAAGACAATGGTAGTAGGTGTCTGGTCGGACCTCCTTTGCCCTTTCATGGCAGATTCAGAGGATGATCGAATCTAGAGATCACCTTTATCATGCTGCATATCTGGTTGTGATGATCCACTCTGTGGTGCCGCAAAGTGGTCATCAAACAGTACACTGCAATAGTGTTACTGTAAGATAAGATTTGAAAATGCCAGAGTTGAGAAGTCAATGGATATGCTATGAACTTGCACCAAGAAGATGATTATTTTCTTGTCGTTCTATTTGGGTGTTTTATTTAGGAAATAAATAAGACTATAAGCCAAATTTCTTGTTTCATTCAAGAGGCAAATCTACATCAGTGGATTTCTTAACTCGTTTCTGCTTTAATGCAACTTGACATAGCATTCTGCATTCAGGGTTCTTGCTGCTGCTGCTGCTAAACGCAGGGAGCAGGATAATGAAGGTGAATCACTCGCAAAGATCTGAAATTATCGTTATTTCGATGTTCTCCTCTTCTCTTTTCCTTCTGCTCATGACTTGAAATCTTACTGATTCTGCAGAATCTCATGGAAAGTCTGAGAAGGGACCTGAAAATTCTGGAAGCCATGTGATGCCAGATCTCTGTGTCATCTGTCTGGAGCAAGAGTACAATGCTGTTTTTGTTCCGTAAGCTCCCATGACCTATTTCCTCTACTTTTCTTGCATGCTGTCGATTGCTATGGCTGTAGCAAAGGAATGGAAGCTCCATAGATACCACAGTAGCAATAAAATGGTGAAATCACAGGGAAATTGGCATATTTGCTCTTTTTTCTTGGCATCATGTGCTCCATTCTCCATTTCTCTTCTTCAATGTCACAAAAAGTTGAGCTCTGGTTCGTTGCATTTGATGCCCACAAGCATATAAGAATTACAGTTTTTTGATATTCTATTTAGTTGTACCCTACTATCAAACTGATAATTATTTCTTGGGTCACAATGAACCTGACCTGTCAATATGAGCATTTTATTAGTCCTGGGATTAATTTAAAAGGTTAATTGTTTCTTCTTTTTTTCCAATAATTCCCCTTAGTTAAGACGAATACATCATTTAATCAGATTCCATGTTGGGATCGGCCTCATTCTTGTCCGTAGAAATTCGTAGAGAACAGGTGGAGAGACTCATAAACTGTATAGAATGGCGCAGCTTCAATGTCTCTAATCCCCCGACCTGTCCTCTCCAGGTGCGGCCACATGTGCTGCTGCACGCAGTGCTCGTCCCATCTGCACACCTGCCCGCTCTGCCGTCGGCGGATCGAGCAGGTGGTGAGGACCTTCCGCCACTGAGGGCCGCCCAGAAAGGCCCCCCAAGCCAAATGAAGAAAGCCTCAGGTATGCCTCGTGGTGTGGGATTCCCTCTGTACATGTATGCTCCCTCTCCACGACCAAGATGGGTTGAGCCCTGCCGCTGCTGTGCCACTGCCGCCGCCGCCACCGCCCCCGCTGCCTTGGCCCTCATCGGGGTTTTTCTTTGGATGGGGCGTCGGAGGGTGGGGTGGGGGAATCTTCCAATGAATGAATGTATGCTGCTGCCCTTTGTTGGTCTTTTTCTTCTTCAAAAAAATCATATTCTTCGTGTTCTCATGGAGATTTACAGGCTTCAACTCTCAAAGGAAGATCACTTTTTGGTGAGAAAGATGTTCTTATAGTCCCCCATATTCGTAGTGATCTCATGGAGATCTGCAGGTTTCAAAGAAGCCTTTTTTTTTTTTTTTGGTGCGAAGAATGTTTCAATAGTTCCTCTGTAGAGAGAGAGAGAGATTGAGTTAGTGAGTGTTTGGTTGTATTGTGTTGTGTTGTCTTCTTTCTTTCCTTCTTGTTAGAGAGAGAGAGAGAGGGAGGGAGAGATGTGATATTTGTCACTCGGTTAGTGGGGAACAAGGAATGTGATTCCAATGCCCGTGAGGAAAGGAGAGAGGAGGAAGAAGATGCTCTCAACGTCCTGTCAGGCAAACTGGCGAACATCTCGCCGGCGTGCTATCCCATCCCCTCTATATCTCTCCTTCGTCTCTCTTGAGCAGGGACTCCCCCCCCCCTCTGTAACGGAGATGAACAAGGATGCGGTCGTATCCACTGAACCGACGGGCATCTGCGGGAAGCTCTTCCATGCCCTCCGCTTGAACCCATCCTTCCGCCCTCTCCGCCGCCTTGGCCCCCGGCACCAGGAGCCCGCCGCGGCGGTGGAGGCGCCGCCCACCTCCGCCGCCTTCTCGGCGGCGAACGGCTCTGAGAAGGCGGTTCAAGGCGCAGGTGATGGGCCAGCAAGCGCGCCAGCGCCTCCCTTGCTAGCGGAGAGGGTGGCGGTGGTCACTCTGAGAGCCGACGGCGGCGGAGGAGCGGCGACGACGGCGGCGGCGGCAGTGAGGGAGGAGAGACGGCGGAAGAAGACTTCGACGATGAAGCTGAGAATCAAGGGGACGAAATCGTGAGAGTCGATTCGGCGTGTTCCTCGTAGTTGTGAAATTTGTGGGAGTGAATTGATGGGTTTGTCTCGTTTCCTCGTGAGATTTCGGAAATGGACCTCCTTCTTCAGTAGGAGGGGGGGGGGAGGAAGAGAGCACAGCAAGAGAGAGAATGAGAGAGAGAAGGGGAGTCTGCTAAAGGTTCTCCCTGTCCTCTTAACCTGGTTGTATCGTCGTTGAAGAAGTATCGAGAGCGAGAGAGAGTGAGACTGAGTGAGAGAGAGAGAGACGGTGCTGCAGAGCTCTTCACCGCAGAGGGTGGGCTGCCTTTTACTTCCCTCTTTGTTCGTAATCATGGCAGGGTGGAAGCCGTCATTTACGAGATAAACCCTCGAGTTTACGACTTTCACCACCATGTTCCAGAATGATTCCTGTTTAGTCGGATCCATTGGAGTAGTTGAACAGCGACTAACGTTCAAACCAGACAGGCTAAGCAGCAAGGAAGGTGGTGGGGGTCGTCGTCCCTTTCCTCCAGCTGCCATTCTTGCGCTCTCCCTCCCCCGTTCGCCTGTGTTGTCCGTCTACCTTTAGACGAGTTTTCTTCTGCGGATGCTGTTCACCTGGAAGACCGCGAGTCGTGTTTGTGTGGACGGGGATGGCCTCCGACCCCGCGCGTTACCTTCCGCTGCTGGGGATCGTCCGCTCTCTTCCTGCAATCGTCCGGGGCGTCTCCGTGGAAGTGGTAGCCGTTACGATTTTCGTCGCCCTCCTCTGCGTCTGCGTCTTGATTGGGCATCTGCTCGAGGAGAATCGCTGGGCGAACGAGTCCACCACTGCCCTAATTCTGGTTCTCCCTCCTCCACCTTCGTTGTCTCCCTTGGTTTCTTGCGTCTTGGATTCTCTGGGTGTCGATGCGCATGCTCCTTGTTAAGTGCATCCTGTCTGTGCTTTCGTTTCTTTGGTGAAGGGCCTTTGTACTGGCTTTCTGACGCTGGTGTTCAGCAAATGGCATAGCTCGCACTTTCTCTCCTTCGACGAAGAACTGTTCTTCATTTACCTGCTACCTCCTATCATCTTCAACGCTGGGTAATCCACTTTCCTAGTTCACCACCGATTCTCAGCTTTCAGACCAGCATTCAATACAAGATAATAACAGGAGCAGGAATGGATTCGTCGTCTGTCATTATTTTGAGCATTCATAGAACAGGATGCTCTCCGTCTCCCACTAATTTTATTCTTCTACTAAAAAAAAAAACTCTTATTTATTCACGATTTTGATGTTCTTCTTGATTTAAAAAACGCAAGCAACTCTAACATTATATCTTGTTTTTTTAAAACAGAATCTGCCAGTTTCACTTCCACTTACATGTTGCAATCATGACGGTGTCTGCTGATGTTTACTCAGTGAATGTTTTGATTCATCAGTCGAAGATTGCCTGTGGTTAGGTCTCTGGACTGGCCGCATTTAAGCAATAGCGCTAACTTCTACTTTGGATATCATTTTTATCAGACTATCACTTCTATGAAACCAACATCCATATTCATGTTCCTTTGGTTGATATCATAATAGCTGGTGGGTATGCTAACTTGGCCTTTTACCATCATCTTTCTTCAACTGGCTAAGAACTTACCTTTATTGGGCAAATAACTCGTTGAAGAAGTACTGGGATCTGGAATCCGGCCACACATGATGCAACGGGTAGAATGATGCTGTTTGATGAATCGGGCTAAGTAAATAGGTAGGTAGAAGCATCTGCATACGAATTAAATAAATCTAGGAGACACCAATAATGTAAGAACATACAGTTCTGTGTGGATGGGTTGGCAGAGAAAAAGACTGTTTAAGCGGGGTTCATCATTGCAGCGGACACAGGCTAAGGTCAGACTCACTGAGAGAGGATGGAAGACAGATATAGTGCTGTTGAGAGCTCATAGTGCTTAGATACTTGGTAGGTGATTTGGTTGACGAAACTGACTGAGGAACCCTTAGTATTCAAGTTAAAAGGTGGCCTCACTTTTAGCCATTCCGTTGTTACTGGCGCTCTATTAGGTTGGCTCATTGGGGGGATAAACAGATGATAGTGGTAAAACTATAGTAAATATTTTGAAATTCCAGACTCGTCCTCCTAAGCCTCATCCAGGCATAAGCTATTAACTCGGGTGTTCCTTCGGTCCTTCTTGCACACCTAAGCACTCCACGTAATTGGGGATTCTTCGTCGTACTGTCATATTAGTCACTGAAAAGTAAGAAATAACTGTTTGTCTGTTCTCACATGTGACTAATCAACTAAACATGGTAATGATCCGGGAAAGTAGTTGTTGATTAGTCGACTGTAATTATAGTTGTGCTCCTGAAGGCAAAGTTCATGGTAATTAGAAGCACCCTACATAGTTCTCCACAATCTTCCTTTTGGATATGGGGCATATATATTGTCTTACTTTTTAAGCACATTAAGTGTTCTGCATGTAGACGCCTGCGGATAGCTCAAATGTTTAGTTAGATGCGTTCTACTGAGAAAATTTTCAGTTATTCAAATCATATTGTTTTTTTATTCCTTGGCTAATTTATGATACTCATCAATAGCACTAAAATATATCGTCTTACTTTTTAGGCAAGACAACTATATGTGCAGGTGTTCCGCACGTAGAAGCCTGTGGATTGCTCAAATGTTTACTTAGATGTGTTCTGATAAAATAATCAGTTATTCAATTCATGTTTTTTTTTTCCTTGGCTAATTTATGATACTCAACGGCCTAAAATTTATGGCATTTACATTCGGACTTATCCGAAGTGCATTATTATTTTTAGTTTTCAGGTTAAGAAGAAACAATTTTTTCGAAACTTTTCGATTATATTCTTGCTTGGTGCGGTTGGAACGTTGATATCCTTCTGCTTTATATCAACAGGTATCTTTTCTTTCCCATAAAACTCTAGTTTATTTCTGCAGCCTGACTTGTCCTGACCAGTTCTCAAATTCATTTTTTTTGGCTACTGAAATAAGCATCACCATATGATGTAGTTATTGTTGGTAATTGCCATTTTGGGTGATTGTTTTCAGTTTTTTGACGTGTTCATAATTCCTAATTTGTGCATATCTCTAATAATGTAAATGATTTCTAAATATTATTTATTTTACATGAAGCCTTTTGATGTTTCATCATTCAAATAAATCAAATCAAACCCATAATTATGGGTTCGAAGAGTTGCAATGGTATGCTAACATATTAATACATCCTCCATTAACGATGAGTTTTAGCAGGAAAAGCAAAATCTGTTTTTATTTCATGATGCTCTTTGTTAAAGGTGCAACAAACAGGAAAATCTCAGAGCTGAACAATCGTCTGACGTTACTGTGAATCATAGACACCCCGAGTGAGATAACTTTTAGAAGTCATGGCAATTTGAAATGAGGTCAATCAAGGCAGATTGGAGCATCTATCTTTTTTTTGGATTCTAGATATCAATTCTGTGCAATAAAGTCCAAGCTTATCAATCTCAGGTTAAACTCATTTGATGCAAATTTTGCAATGTACTAGAGTGGAATTTTGGAAACAACCTGAGGGACGAAAATTTAAGTGTCTATCGAACAGAATTGCAACTGTTCAGTTGAACAATTCCAAACGAGAGAGATGAAAATGAGTTTGAAAAATTGTGGGCATCTCTTACGAAAATTACTTAAGCTCCCATCAAACGAGGTTCTTTGGTATGCAACACAACCTAAACTAAATGTAAAAAGTTGCATGCTGTTTGGCTTTTGTATCATTTTGAAGGAACAATTTTTACTTCTATTTTATTTTAAACTATGGCTTAGTTTGGAGCATCCAATGATTAGCTTAGCCCGGTAAGCCTACATATGGAGTAGGAGAATCATAGTACCAGAATGACTCGCTCATTCACAATCAGACATTTTAACACTAGCCAGAGCGTACTACTACAGCAGTGGAAAATTCCAATAGTAGCAAATAGTATAGAACTTAAAAAGGAAGTTTCATTCTCAAAGACTTATCTTATATACTAGAATAAATCTAAAGCCAAATCCTTAACCTCGAAATGATATCGAAGAGCTTCGAATCTGACTTAGAGAACATTCTTGCACTTTCCCTGCTGCACCACTCCTGTTTGCTTTCTTGCTTCCTTTGATTCCTTATTCCAGATTCGCTAAACAGAAGATCTAGATTTCAAAGAAGGGAAGCGATATTGGACAGGATCAGGATGCGACCCTTACCAGAGCAGCTTGCGCTTGACCATTGAGTTAGCGGAGCGGATCCCGTCGCCGAGCATGAAGCAGAACCATCTGAGCACACCGAGCAGCGCAAAGCGAGCATTAAAGAAAGACAAGCGGAGAGTCAAGCTCCTTGCCCAGCACTGAGAGAGCGGAACCTAGGAGTTGAGCACCGACCGAAGTGATGTATGGCTAGAGTCCCGATTTTATCTACAGCTGGACAAACTTAGGATATGAAAAATGCTGGAAAATATTAGAAAATAGAAATATCACGGGTTAACTTTTGGAGAAGCACAGATGCATCATTATCTTTTTTTGAACTCAACTTTTGGAAAGTTGATGGTTTTATCCAGGATTGCCCTCTTTTCTTATTTGCAAGACTTTGTTTTTGTGGATTATTATTAATTTTTTAGCTTCTAACTTGGATGCAATATATATTGGATACCCTTGCATTAAATTGAAGATAATGATGGAGCTTTATTGAAGCTTCTCTTATGCGTTGATCTCTGAACTCTGTAGGTTCTTATTTTCTATTCAAGATGATTGGAGTCGCATCTTTTGGGATTCAGCAGTACTTAGGTATATCCAAATTAGTTAATATCTTAAATTCAACCCTGTGTGTGCTGCATAGTCTTGTGATAACACTGTTGACTTTTATTCCGCACAGCAATTGGAGCAATATTTTCAGCGACAGATTCTGTCTGTACTTTACAGGTATTTCATGAAAAGCAATTTTATTCTAGGCTTCATCTATAATAACTGCTGAACGCAGCTGATAAGTTTTTCTTTGTGGCAAAGGTTCTGAATCAAGACGAAACACCCTTACTTTACAGTGTTGTTTTTGGGGAAGGAGTAGTGAATGACGCCACCTCTATTGTGCTTTTCAATGCAGTCCAGAAACTTGACTTTAACAATTTTGATGCAGTCTCAGCCTTAAAACTTCTAGGGACATTTCTTTATCTGTTCTTCACAAGTACGGCACTTGGTGTAGCAGTAAGTTATCATTTTTTAGCTCTTGAATATTTGGCTGTATGAATGAAGAAAAACTATTTACTGATATTAGCACAATATTTTAGCCATAGATTGTATGACGCTCTTCCACTTGTTGCAATGAAAGTTGTTGTAATATGGATGTTACTTGGGATATGCAAACCAAATACCTTCTGAGTGCTATCTGATTTGCATGAAAAATTTTCTCTTTACGGCGAATATTATTGGCATGTATTTATTTATTTTAATTGGCATGTATGTATTAGTGAAGGTTGCTGCGTGTTTTCCTCTTGTAATTGATATCTATTGTGCTGACCCTATTGCCTATTCTGGGTCTGCCCTGACTACTTACTGGATGCCTTCACGCCAAGGGGTAAAAGGGAGATTTTAAAGGCCAAGCTTAATTTATCCTTCCTGTTTCATCCCTTTTTGAGGGCAATTCTGGATAAAACCATGTTCTTACAATAGGGGAACATGTAGAAAGTGATGGTTTTAGCCAGAATTGCCCTGACTACATGTTCTTAGAATACAAGTTGTAGTTGAGTTATGTCTCACAATAAATGTTCTTACAATACAAATTCCCCTAATTGTGATCAGTCTTGCATGGAGATAAAATAACCCAGAGTTATGTCTGCACACAGAGAAAATACAAACTAATACTTCCCCTACTCCGTCAATATGGAATCAGGGCCCATGCAAGAAGTTTTATGGGTTTTGTGCCTTAGCTATCCCATGGAATGCCATTTCAGTTCCTTATAAAAGCTATCGAATTGTGACGATTTTCTGTCTTAGCTTAAGTCACCTAATCAATCATTGACTTGTCAACTTCATTTAAAATATTTAGAACATCAGATTGTGCCGCTTGGAATATCTTCTTACTTATTTCCTTCCAAATTGCCTGAAGGACAGAATTTGCATCCTCTATTCTCTTTTATGAATGCTCAGACAATTTCACCCGATTAGTATCTTTTCCAAAGTAATAGATCTCCAGATATACCAATTCTGCCTTTAAGCTATAGAGGATGGATGTAACATTTATTTTATTGATTCTTCCAAATGTTTGCCTTTGGTGACCTATTTTCCACCAGAAGGATCTTGTCATTATAAGAATATGATTGTATGGTATACTGGTCATTTCATTTACTAGATTTATCTGCGTGGTATTGATGGGCTCAGAACTTAAGGCCTGAGATGTTATGTGGATTTCCCTCTTTAATGTTAATTAGCGCCAGAGATCTATACTAGAAGAAGAACACCATCGAACAGTAGGAGAAGAGTGGAACAACAAGAAAGCCTTACAACGGAAGAAAAACACCTTAAGTTTGGTCAGAGAAGGGCAGAATACCATGAAACCCTTAGGTGTTGAGTTAGAGGAGAGGAGAACAGATTCAGGCGCTAAAACCCTAGTCTGAACGGTGGAGAGAATCTGTTTTTTCTTCTATTTTATGTTCATCCTTAGGGTACCGTTTTAAATATGGATGCAAGAGTACAGCTTCAGCAGACCCAAAGTGGATCCTAACTTGATGGGTTAGTGGGCCCAAAGGACTCACACAGAAACCAAAAAAAAGGAATAACTGGTTCAAGAATGCCCATGAGGGGCTTTTGCCCACGTAATGGTAATGGACCTAGGGGCTGCGGTTTTCTACATGGATTTTTTTCATCTAACATATGGTTTTTTGAGTGGCCAGGATGATGATCCGTCTTATAACTTTGTGACTAGATGAGGCACTTTCAAAACTTAATAAAGAAAAAACATAGGTGAATTTAATGTTAATACCTGCTGTGTATGAATTTATAATTAACTATACCCTATAGGATAGGTTACAACAAGCGTTTATTATCTATGACGCTTTGGCAGGGGTCGAGCTCCTTGGTGATGAGGCTGATATTAGAATGGCCTTCATTTGTGTCCCATCCCTCTTGCTAGGATCCTGCCTGTTTGCATCCCATAACACCATGCAATAAATATCTGACAGCCTTTTTATGCTTTTTAGCTTGGTGTTTTGTTGTACTTAAATCATTCTAAAATTGGTCGAATCAATAGATCAGGTTCTCTTCTCCTCGATAACTCCATGTTAAATGCAAGGTCCTATTTTTATTCTCCTTCTACCTATAGTTTACTAACCTTAGCTTATCCCTGATCATTAGGTTAGTGACGATAGCAACCATATGCTTATATACAGGTGGTGTATTTGATCAACTTTGGGTTTTTGGTCTGCAACCTCCATTATTTATCAGGTTTTGGTTGCTTGTGTTACGATTTTTTTTAACAAATGTCTGTTTTGCAGATTCGTAAAACTTATCTTTGAATAATTTTCTGTTTAGGTTACTACAGATTATTCTTAATTAAAAGTATATAATTATATATTTTATCATCCATCTTATTTTTCAGGCTGGGCTTCTATGTGCTTACATCACAAAGAAGCTATATTTTGCAAGGTTTTTGTCTCAATATCTTATCCTCATCTCGTTATATTTTTTACTTGTTGAGTAAATCAATTCTTTGAATTTAAATTCATCCTTGCTTCCTCTATGGGTTTCACCTATGGCTGTGAAGAGTAATGCACATTTTGGTTGTTTGAACAATGTGCCAGCTTAAGAAGACTTTTAAGTCTCGTATATGATTACTAGAATGTCTGTTGAACATTAACTTTAGTAGCCTAGATGCTTCCATGATGAATCTTTGGTGCTTTCAAAAAAAACAACCTTAGGAAAAATAACCTATATCAATAGTGTGGAACGTATGTAATGAATTAATTTCAATGCATGGTAAGTGTGATAGAAAACAAGGTCAAGGTTTGTGCACTATTAAATTCATTGTATAGTCTAAGGCAACGTATGCAAGAAAAGCTGTTTGCAAAGTATGCAGAAACCGGAAAAAAAACACATCAGTACACATTGTGTGTACATGCTAGTAACAATAGTAAATCATATGCAGAGAAAAAATGTTGATTGCTGAACGTATTCCTTTAGCTTTGACGCGTTCATTGTTCCAATCTTTTTATTGGTAATACTCCACTCCCCTTAAACTTTCGAGAAAGTACGAATCAGTGAATGCATGCGTACTATTTTTTTGTTCAAAATACTGAGTAGAATTTATTTCAGACATTCAACAAATAGGGAGGTCGCCATGATGTTGCTTATGGCTTACTTGTCTTACATGCTCGCTCAGGTGAGAAATACTTTTTTCAGGATTAGCCTCATAACTCTTGGAAAAAATAAAATCATGTTGCATAAATCCGTTTTGAGTTGGATGGTATAGTAATTTTACTATTGCATTGAAGTCAATGGCTACCTTTGTGTTTGTGTGGCATGAACTTTTATACTCGATGTGATAAAGTTTGAAAGTTGGCTGCACTAAAAGAGACGAGTTGTAATTATACATTGCTCAGGAAAATACAAGGGTATGGTATAATCAGATGAGCTTACTTATTACAAATTTGTTTGAGTTGCAGATCCATAGATAATTGATGATTACTAATGTACTGAATGCACACCCTTTTTGTGTTCTATATGCCATAACTTAAAGAGGGTTTACTAGAATAATTACACATTTTATAAAATCTTATCCTTTAATGTAAAAAGACAAACATGTTTCACTCATTACCTATTGGCTTTTAAGTTGGACAGTCTGATAGCATTAATATGGTTGTTGTTGTGCTGCTTATTTTGTTAATGTGATACAGTCTAGATGTTGACTTCCATGAGAGGGGGACTGTTAGAATAGTCTCTCATTACTTGAGAACGTAAAGCCTTATGGTAGAAACGCAATACAAGAAATGGGTTTTGAGTTTGATAACCCAGTATGCTTAATCCATCGTAACTTGTTAGTATAATTTCTATCGTAATTTTAATGTTTATTGAATTTTAGTTAATGGATAACTTTTTCCTTATTTTTCATTGATGATTATCTTTGCAGCTATGTTCTCTGAGCGGGATTTTATCGATTTTCTTTTGTGGTGTTGTCATGTCACACTACACATGGCATAATGTCACTGAAAGATCACGAATAACTACACGGTAAGTGTTGTGGGAATGTGGTTCGTATTGTGTAGCCATTGGATTTACAATTGCTTTGGCATTCAGTGTCCTGTATTTCTGTGATTATCCATTTTAATCACCTTGCTCCCTGGTCTTGAATAATAGCAGATCGTAGACGTGCTGTTTCTGTCTCTTCTATGGATGCTTAAAATTTCCAGTTTCTTGTACAGCAGTTTCCATTTATTATTGAATTATTTATTTTTGCAATGAAGGATAATGCTGAGCAACTGCATCGTAGACTCTTCAACATTTTACCTTCTACTTTACGAGCGATCATTTTCTTTTGTTTCATTGATTTGACAGTTTCATTGCAGCCCTTATGATCATCTAATTTCTTATGGAAGTTTTTCACCTGGAATAGTATCTGTATATAGTATTTTGTATCCATATTTTCTTCTTTTCCAGTATCTTCTGGAATTACTTCTATGGATTAATATCTTACCTTTTAGTCTTTGTTTGTGCATGACAATAATTTCAGGCATGCTTCGGCAACAATATCCTTTATAGCAGAAACATTTATATTTCTTTATGTTGGGATGGATGCCCTTGACATCGACAAGTGGAAACAGAGTAATGGAAGGTTAGTTGTAATGATTCTGTTCTTAACAATTTTATTTGGAACTTGGTGCTTGGTTGAGCTTGAATGAAACATTGTTCAGTTTTATAATTGGCGTGGTTTATATTTTCATTCTTTTCCAGATTGCCACCTTTATAATTTTAAAAATATGTCAATTTTTACTCTTTTTTTTATGTTTTTCCTGTCATTTTCTTGATCAGTGTAAGAACAACGGTTACTGTTAGTGGAATATTGTTGGCCTTAATTATGCTTGGAAGAGCTGCATTTGTGTTCCCTCTGGCAAATCTTGCAAATTTTTTCAGAAGCAATGCAAAGATCGATTTTTCTCAACAGGTTGGTATGCACATCTATGACATGCCTTTTTTACTTCCATCCTGATGTCATCTGGGTACCTAATCTTTCGTAGAAAACTAATAATATTTCACTTTCAGTTCATTATTTGGTGGTCTGGGTTAATCAGAGGTGCTGTTACTATTGCTTTGTCTTATGAGCAGGTATAACTTTAGTAACGCTCCATAATTTTAGTATAAATTTGCAATAAAAATCTGCTTCTTCTGATCTCGTTTTTTGCAGTTTTCAACATCTAGCTCTACGTCCTCTGATGATGCCTTTTTGATCACAAACTCCATAATTGTGGTCCTTTTTAGTACAGTGGTATGTCTGCTGCAGTGTTTAAATAAAGCTTTACTATTCTAACTATTAGCCCATCTTAGTAAACTTTTGTGGTTGAGATGATTAGCTTGAAGAAATAAATGAAGAATATACTGATGGTCTATAATCTATAATCTATAATCTATAATCTATAATCTACAATCTTTCCTGTGATCCGTTTTCATTACTAGTTACCTATATTTAGATTGCTCTATCGGGTAACTTTGTTTGTGTTTATTGAATTAGTGTCACTGATGCTTAATTCATCTTTTATGCTGCATCAGTGCCCAACCATTTCTATGATCATACAGTTTATTCTCCATTTTGAAAGGCCAATGCAATATATTGAAAGGCCTTTCAAATTTGAGGTGTTTAAGCTTACATTTTTATTTTATTTTTCTGAATTTTGTGAACTTACAGGTGTTTGGTTCGGTAACGAATCCTCTTATACAAGTGACTCTCTTCCGCCAGTCAAGGCCGGCGCCTGCAGCCGACATGGACCCGCCAAGCTTGGAGGACATTCGGCTCTTGTTCCTCGAGCCAGCTAACAGAGGAGTTGATGAGGGTGGGAGCAACCAACGGAGGAGCGGCGTAGGCCTCATCATCTGGCACCCGACCTCGGCTGCCCATTACTTCTGGAGGTGGTTTGATGATAGATTCATGAGGCCCGTATTTGGGGGTCGCGGCTTCATGCGCCTCATTCATGGCTCCCCCCCACATGAGGAAACTGAAAATGTGTAGCTTGGAAATATGTTTATCAGCCACATACATTAGCTGGGCCGGTGGGCGGAGCTACCCTTATATACTGAAAGCTTGGAAAGATGTATCTTTCATTTTCATAGTTTACTAAATTGCTACATAAAAAATGAAATTGCTTTCAAACAGCGTTTCTTTTGCAATAAATAAAATGCTGGGTTGCCTTGTACTCATATTTCTTGGATAAGAAGATGAACAAGTTGTGTTCAACTTCCAGGCTTAGAGATGCTGGTCTTTCAAAATTTTCTTTCCAAAAATGATCAAGAAAGAGAAAATGTGATGTTTGAATGTAAACCTTTAAGGTTACCTTAAAATGTAGGCTTATAGTTTGATCCTACATGACCAAAACTTTTATGATCTCATCATGGTAAGTAATTTGGGAGGGAAGAAGTGAAGAATCACTCTAATATTTTCTTGGAGACCAAAGAAAAATCTTTTTCAAGCACCTTTTAGATTTTTAACTTTTGACCAACTTTTGATAATTTGGTTTGTGTCATCATTTGTGGTATTTTTTGGCCCTAAAGGAGTCACAAGATAATCTAAGAGGAGTAATTTATCTTCTAATGAAGCCTAAAGGTTCTTGGGGCCACATGATAAAATATTAGATTTTAATAGTGCATGATACTCTTTGCTTACTTCACCCTTTTATGGGCCTTTCTCTTGAGTTTCATCATCACCTAATTTCCACCTAAAACTTTTCTGCATTCATAGTTATGAAGGTTACTTGAGATGCACTCAAGACTCTCTACTATGGTTCTCATAAACTAGTATAAATCCAAGCCTATATGCATGCAAATAAATAATTCCCCAATCAAGGAGTGTGGGTCGTTAAAATGGAAACTTTTAACTGAAATTATAATAAATTGTTGGTAATGGTTTTGTAAATGCATGCAAATTCATGTATGAGACTCAAAAAATGAAAGTGGACATTGATCTCATCATACACCTTTAATTTCCAATGACTAGTCATAGACACAATTGCTAGTACCTATCTACTGCAGTTTTTTAATATATTTTTTTTGTTTGTTGTATGGTGCTTGCCTTATTATAGGCTATGTTTGTTCATAAAATAGGAATCAGCTCCTTTTCTTAAAACGAGAAATGATATAAGATTGTATTCATTTGGCCTTGGGTACAATGTTGACATGTTCCTAAGAGTCAACATAAAATAATCCCATTATATTTGCATTTATGTAGTATCTTAATGATATGCCAAATGAATAATTTATACACCCATGCTCATTTTTTCATCAGCAACACAAGACTCTCTAAATTAGGTTTCTTTTTTTTGAGATGAGATAATTTGAAATAAGTTATATGATTCCTTCTTTATAAGTTTAGACTATTTCAACATTCAAGGATGTTCTTGAGGATGGATCTCCTTAATTGGTTTTGTTTGATTATGAAAGAATTATTAGTATTAAAAAAAAAACCTAAATTGGTCTACAAAGCATCTACTTTTTAGCTACAAACTAATTATTGTCTTAATATAGTTTTCCTGCAAAATGAATTCCTCAATTATCACTAGTTAACTTACTATTGATAGCTTATAAAAATTTTAGATAATTTATAACTCTCTTCTTAATAGATAGTCTAAATTGATAGCTTACTTTGGCACTCCCTCTAATATTTTTATTTTTTTTAATTTCAAAGTTTAAAACGACTAAATGTTGTAAGGATATCATGAATGTTAAGATATTGATGTGGTTTTCATCTCAAAAATAGTGGCCATGCAGCATATGCCTCCAACTTGTCATTTCAATGTGGATCATGCCTATTGCATTATTTGACTAAGACATTTTAAAAGGTCATGCTGTATTCCACAAATTCTCTTTCAACCTAGCATGAGTTGCCATAGAGCTTCTCTATGAGATTAGACTATCTTATGCTCAACCTATCAAAGTCACAATATGATGATGAGGAATCCTTCATAATGTCATTGCTTGTTGACTATCAATTTGTATTATATTTCAACTTGTGCTACCTATTTATCATAAACTAGGATGCAATGGCTCAAGGGGTGAAAGATTAAATTAGTTCATGAAATAATTTTCAACTAAACATAGAAAATGACATACAAATGTAAACAATTGACTATTCAATTATTTGGAGATCTTGATTGAGAACCCAATTAGACACAAAATATATGCATTGCTTAATATTCATTAAGATTTATATTTTTCAGTGATTTAGTTTTCTATTCAATATGAGAAAATATCATTTTCTCTTAAAGTTTCATCTTTCACTTGACTGTTATACATAACGTCTAATCTTACTTGCTAAAGAATTTTATGTGTAATGTTTTGATGATGACAAATTAATATGAGATCAAAGAAAAGGATCAAATTATATCTTACTCTGAATATACATAATATGAAAATAAAATATAGAAATATTCACATATAGTTCAATATAATACTATTAAATGTTTAAAGAACTCATTGACCATACTACTTATCAGTAAATTGAATTTATAAGATTAATTAATTTAATGACATAAAATAATCATTTTATATATTATTGTGAAAATTGCAATATTTGTAGGATAATTCATTGTGAAAAACTAACACTAAGCATATTAAAATCAGTCAGACATTTGGAAGTAAAATATGAGTACAAAATTTTTCTTAGTCTATTATATACTTGTGACATTAGATTATTATTTTTGAATGATTTATATATCAATTTAATCAATGGTGTTTGAATTATCTATTCAATTCAATATGAGTTTTTGAATATCAGTAGATAGATTGTGAAATGTCTTTAGCATTTTGAATCACTAAAACAATAGTTCAAAACGTCAAGATTGTGATTTAGACATGCTTCATTCAAGTAAATGTTTCATTCTACTAAAGTTGATTTACACATGTTTGAATCGATAAATCATAACATCACCGAGATAAACATTATCATAGTTATATCTACATTATTAGGTCCTTATTGAACTGATTTAAATTGAGATGAACTGAATTGGAATGTTGAACATTAACGAGTGTGAGCTCTCTCTATTAATAGTGAGTGGACATCCTAGTGCCATAAATTTAGAAAGTTATTTCTAAGTGAGTTTCTAAAATGGCTATCTCCATTGAAAAAAAAATTAGCCTTTTAAAGACATGAAGTTATAATAGAGTTTTTGGATGAATCTCTAAGAGAGTTGAGATCAACAATCAATAGTTTGTGGTTAGATAGTCATACTTTGTGAAACACAAGAACAAAAATGTATTCTCAAAGAGTTGACGTAGTCATGGAGCTGAACCATTATAAAGATCAAAATGTTTATCAACTAGAATAAGAAAACATTAAGTGCTCAAAAGATAAAGAGATGATCCATTTGAAGAAGAAATCTTGTCTAAAGATCACCCATTACCTTATTAATCTTAGTGTAGCCTAAAACTCAACATTACCATTATTGAGGTGTCATAATCAATTGATGAAACTTTGTTGCTTCTATTTGTGGAATTGGTCATTTAAGATAATACAAGGGCACTCACTCTTCATGCTTTCTAATGCTACAAAAGGTGAAATTGAGTTAATCATTTCCACATGCATAATGATAATGTCTAGAATAAAAAATATATTGATTTTCAAGATTGAAAAGGAATACAATCAGTTTATTGGGGCCCAATTTTTTATCATATATGCACTATAGAAGTCCAAAAAAGTTTTGAGATGCTTATTGAAAAGGGTGCTTATTTTGCATGCATATGGGAATGTTTATCACAACCAACGGTCTTCATTGTTGATGATTATTAGTGGCCTTTCAAAGTGCATCTTCTAGTAGAAAATTCCAACCAACAGGTGGCCTGTCCATGAGGTGATCTCTTGGCAGCTCAGCAGCTAATGCAAGAGCCCCAAGAGTGCCCATGATGATTAGGTTGACCCGTAGAAGCTGTTTCAGCATGTCAAGAAGAGAGCAATTGAAATGGCTAAATGAAGGAATGGAGCAAAAGCCAAAATACAGGCTTTATTTTGGCAAAGGGCCAACTCCAGATGTTGCTGATTGGTTTTGGGCTGGATGGTCCAATGATTCTAACTGCAGCCTTTTGCATGAAACCAGAGTGAAAGAGAGAGAGAGAGAGAGAGAGAGAGAGAGAGAGAGAGAGAGAGAGAGAGAGAGAGAGAGAGAGAGAGGGAGGGAGAAAGAAGAGAGAGAGAGGGGAGAGAGAGTGAGAGAGGAAGAGAGGGAGAAAGAAGAGAGAGAGAGAGGAGAGAAGAGAGAGAGAGAGATGTAGTGAAATAACCAACTTGGATGACATTAAAAGGAACATCACTCGATGAGACTAAAGTGACGATATTAATCACAAGAGTAGCAACATTGATGGTGAGTTAGAACTGCATAAACTTATGAAGATTTGCATAAATTGAGTAGCCCCAAGGAATAACTTATAGTGATTAATCAATTAAAAAAAAACCTCAACATCACTAAGAGTAAAAGGGACCCACCAAAGTTATACCATATGCATTCATAGCAGCAAGGGGTTAACCTTCACGACAAAAGCAAAGTTGTCATCTAAAGTTGTCATTGAAATTTTCCTTTGTAAGTTTCATTCCATGAATGCCCATCACAAACTTCATATAAGTGTTTGTATGAATACAAACTAGTTACTTTATATAGATTTGTTTGTGATATGACAAGTAGATCATCTAGATGGATGAAATTATTTTGGACGGTTTCAATAGGTAAAAGCTGTATTGAAAAGTAAAGGATTAATACGACACCTTATGAATTATAATCCGCAGACTAATAATCTTTCATTTACAATATAAGATCAAATTAACTCAAAGATTATGGCTTATATGTGGACAACTATGACAAATTGTACAAATGAGCTGATTATACTATGACAAGAGTTTGATCAATATATGATGGCACACTTCAATGATCCATTGTAAAAGTTATGTACAAAAATGTGATGGAAAAGACAAGACCCTATGGTTATCTAGTGGGCTTGAACACATAATTTGATAAATTGAGAATTCAGATA